GGCTTTAGCGAGTCTCCAAGATAAGCACAAGGCTTCTGTTGGGAGCAGCAAGGTGTTGAATGGGCACATCCGGCTATTGCTGGTGTTTCAGTGCCTTTCTCCAAATTATTTTCTGGTAAACAGTTCAAGCATTCTCTCTGTGGTTCAGGTTTCCTAAAGCTCTTAACCAGCGTGTCTGCACTGGAGAATATCCGTCCAACCACACGCACCAATGGTGAGAAATCTCTAGTTTCATGGCACATAGTTAGAATTTCATCCACTTTCTCTTCTGTAAGGTAGTTTAAATCTAGCAATAGAAATAATCAGTTATGCAATTTACAGGATTAACATTTCTGCTCTTTCCCCACCAACACAAATAATTGGCATTTTGAAACAGAATAAACAAACTTATATATTGACCAATTATAATAAAACTTGAGAGAGAGTGTGAAAGGGGAGAGGAAGTGAAGAAGGGGAGGGGAGAACAGAGAGAAAAATGAAGGCAGCAAGACAGAGAAGAGGAAAGGAAAAAAAAATAATAATAATCCTTGCATTTGATATAGCGCTTTTCACGTCGGGAGGACGTCCCAAAGCGCTTCACAGAACACACTGTAAAGTGAATTGACTGTATATTTGTGGGCGAACGCGGCAGCCAATTGCGCACAGCAATGTCCCACAAACAGTCGTAGATTGAAAATGACCAATTTATTATTGTTTTTGGTTTTGGAGGGATTATTATCAGGCTCTGTGGAGTAAGGAAACTTGCCCAAGGTTTCGCTCTGCCTGGAATTGAACTCAGGTCTCTCACTTGCAAAGCAAGTGCTCTAACCACTGAGCTACAGGACTCCACACAAAAANGGGGAAGGGAGGGAGAAAAAAAAGAAAGTAATGGATCCCCTCTACAAAAGGGAAGGCTCGTTCATCTAATCTGCCAATTCCTTCAACTTCACTAACGCTACAGGAGAAAATACTCACTGTGAAAGTCATCCTGTTGAGTTTTTGAACTGCAAATCACATCAAAGTTACTCTTGTCGACAGCCTTGATGCTTTCATGGCTGTAATTTCCATGGGAAACATCTCGAGGAAGCAACAATCTTGTCTTTCTCGGAGGCCAGTCTGCACAGAACTCTGCCCGAGCCCGATACAACTCCAGAGCTCTGGCTGCAGCTCGATTATTGTCCAGCTGCTTGAATGTTGGGCAGGAAGCACAATTCTCATTAGCACAGAATTCATTTCCACAGCCCTTTGTTAACTGACGATAGTAACTCTCAATCAAGTCCCTGGCAGCTTCTCGCTTCCTTTAAGAAAAATATAAAAAGTGATTCAGATTAGCAAAATTCAAGTCTGAATTTGAATAGAAATGGGTTTTTAAAACACACACGTGGGTTACCTCCTTATAAAAGGATATAATCTCAATTTACAACACATGATAAATACACTGTTCATTTAATATTAGGCTCCAAGGTTTTGAAAAATCACAAGAAATAAAATGAGATCATGAGAGTAACATTGCTCCAGCTGCAAACTAGCATGCCATTATTTTAAACCATGCAGATACTAGGAAGGGCAATGTGTTAGCATATTTCTCTGAAATTTACCAACACGAGTGATAAGACCAACCGTTTCAACTTCCACAATGTAGAATTGTAACAGCTGGCTGGATCTGTTATCACACAATGTATATTGCTAGACTTCGCGGAATTAAGAATTCCTCACCCTTGGTTTCTGCTAAACCACTGGTTAGACCTCACCTGAAGTAATGTGCCCAATTCGGGACACCACAGTTTAGGAATGATAGCAAGGCCTTAGAGAGGGTGCAAAGAAGATTTTTCTAGAATGGTACCAGGAATGAGGGTATGTAGAGAGACTAGAGAAGCTGGGAATGTTCTCCTTAGAGCAGAGATGGTTAAGGGGAGATTTAATTACTGATCCACTGGTAGGCGGGTCAGTAACAAGAGGGACACAGATTCAAGATAAATGGGATAAGAACCAGAGGGTACATGAGGATTATTCAAAAACAATTATCTCACACACACACACACACACACACACTACAGTCTGGAATGCACTGCCTGAAAGGCTGGTGGAAACAGATTCAATAACAACTTTCAAAAGGGAATTGGATAGGTACTTGAAAAGGAAAATTTGCAAGGATATGTGGAAAGAGCGGATGAGTGGGACTGATTGGGTAGCTCTTCCAAAGAGCCGGCACAGGCCGGATGGGCCAAATGGTCTCCTTCTGTGCTATAATATTCTATGATCTTTCTGTGCAATTAAATTTACAGTTCGAACTGCCGTCACTGTCTATGAAATCTATTCAATAATATTTTGAAAACACCAATTATAATAAGCCTTATATTCGTTGCAATCCTTTCTCTTCAACCATGCCTTCAGCTCTCCTCGCTCCCTCCCTTCCCTCCCCTCACCCTGACCATTGCCCCCACTGCTCGGGTCCCGACCCAACTGTCCAGCACCTTGGGACGTCCTCCCGATGTGAAAGGCACTCTATAAATGCAGTCTTGTTGTTGCATTTGATTTACTGCCTTATCGCGTTAAGGCACCTCAAAGCACTTCATAAGATATACTGTAAAGTGGATTGACTGTATTTTGCATGTGGAATTTGTGCCCAGTAACATCCCACAAACAGACATGGATGAGTGACCAATATTAATATGGGGCCGGGGGAGGGGGATTGTTGGCCAGTGTACCGGGAGAAACTCCATATTCTTTTCAAATTGAGTCATGAGATCTTTAATGTCTACCTGAATAGGCAGAGGGTTTAATGTCTCATCTGAAGGACGGCACCACCAACAATGCAACAAACTGCATTGGCGTGTCAGCCTAGACAATACGATTCCAAGTCCCGACGTGGAGTTTGAACCCAGAACCTTCTGCCTCAAGAGGTGAGAGTGCTACCACTGAGCCAGGCTGACACAATTCAAACATCTACCCATAAACAATAACGTGCCTTTATATAAATTATTGTTGTATACCTAAAAGGATATCTCAAAAGTACAGGAGTGCTTTGAGATGTTCTTTTAGGAATACAACAGCAATTAGGTATTTCAAAACAATGGACACAGTGAACCCGAAGCAAGATGTGTGAGGAATTTGTAGATGTCCGATTGCATGGTCAAAGAGAAGATTTAGGGAGCAATGCAAGCAATAGCAGAGTGAAACAGTGGAAACGGGAGTGGGTCAGTGGAGCAGGTAGCGTCAGCCAAGTTGTAGGCCTGGAGAAAATTACAGATGTTGAAACAGAATTGTGTTTAATTTGAAAATGAGGAACTTGGCTATTTGGGGGACAAGAATCCAGCAGAGCTTAGCAAAAGGTGAAGGAATGTGAAACCTTGTGCAGACCTCAGGTTCAGCAGTTGCTGAGACGCAATTAGTTGCTGGGAGACCTTCTGCATCTATGAGCAGGAAGCTCGCCGGGCAAGACCAGAGAATACAGCACTTTCAATTATAAGTGACTGACTACTAATAAACAGACCTGCACTATAATGAAGTGTGCTATACATTTCTTGTATTTTAAGGGAAACAGTTTTGGAAGCAAATTCCATGGGACAGGAGCAAAATAGCTGAAAGATCAACTAATAGTGGAAAGGAGGAAATAGGAAACAATACGTTAGGATCAAAAAAGCAGAGGCATTGGTTGGATTTTATGGCTGGAGATAATTATATAGTTGGTGGAAGAGTAGGTGAGATCATGGAGGAATTTGATGACCAAGACAGTAAATTCAATTAGCTAAGTACGAGATGACTGATCTGTTAGCAACCATAATGCCAAATCCCACCACAACCAAGTAATTCACAACTAAGTAAAAGAGTATCCTTGTTCACAGCTTTGACAACCACAAGATTACAAGAGAGGTACAAATGGATAAGATTTTTGAATTCATTTGATCTCATCCATTCAAAATACCAATCATACCATTTTACAATACAGTATCAAGCCTTTTCTTAAAAGCAGTCCACTATATGGTGTGTCAACATGACTAACTTGGTAGCAATCTCACCTCTGAATCAGAGGGTTGTGGGTGGAAGTCCTGCCTCAAAACTTAGAACTCAGACAGTCTAGGCTGACACTCAAACGCCAGCGATGTGCTGCACTGTTGGAGGTGCTATCCTTTGGCTGAGACTGTGGCTATTAAACCAAGGCCCAATCTGCCTGTTCAGGTGAATGTTAAAGATCCCATGGAGCTATTCGAAAAGAGGAAAGGGTTTCTCCCAGTTCTGGCCAATAATCCCCAAACAATATTGGTTATTCATTACATGGCTGTTTTGGGGATACTGCTGTGCGCAAATTGGCTGTGTTCACCCACAAAGTATACACAGTCATTGCATTTTACAGGATATCCTGATATGCAATTTGAGACATTCCTCCCTCACATGAAGGGCCCTATACCAGATGGAAGGATTATTATTCTTATGGCATTTAACTTACCTATTCTCCAATCTGTTGATTACCCTCTATGTAAACATATAGACCTCCCGGTGCCATTCTTAAAACTATAATCCCAATTCTGAACTTGTAACTGCGCATCCTACTGCCTTATTAGCATAGCTGATAACTGATTTATTTGACGTAGTTTGATAAGACTGCAGAGAATGGTGATGTATTAAAAAAGTTTATTTGACATAGCTTGACAAGATCTCCTCTAAGAAGTCTCATTTTGAGGCTGTGGAACCCTAGCATATCTTATCATTCATCATCCCTTAACATTGGGTATCAATTCTGTTGCTCTCAATTTCCATGCCCACTGAAAATATATTTTTTAAAAACACACCTTTTGCAATGTCACAAGATAATGTATTAAGCTAAAAGCAAGGATTTTGTTTCCCTCCATATATTCATTGTAAGGATGGCGATGCTAATGATAGCACAACTGGCCTTTGCTCATTGGCAGGACATGGAAGGGCAGACCAGTGACTGGCGGCAGGAAATCATCCCACTTACATGCCTTCCTGATAGCACAGCAGAATACCGTCAGAAAAAGATAAAGAACTCATAACAGCACGTGGGCAAGTCAAGCCCCCACAACACAATAATAATAACCCTTGCATTTGATAAAGCGCCTTATCACATCTTTGAGACTTCTTCAAGTGCTTCACAGAATATACTGTAAAGTGAATTGACTGTATATTCTGTGGGCAAAACGCAAAAGCCAATTGCGCCCAGCAGTGTCCCAGTCATGGCCAAATTATTATTTATTTTTTNATTTATTTTTATTTTGAAAGGGATTATTACCCCCAAAAAAGCGATCTGCCAATCGACTACTTATTTCTAGGTAAACTAAGGCATGTGGAGTAAGGAAACTTGTCTAACGTTTAGCCCTGCCCGGGAATCAAACCCAGGTCCTCTTGCTAGTGAGGATGCTACAAACAATACGCTACAGGCCAATTCCCTATTAGGGAGAGGAAATAATTCAGCAAGTTGGAGCACTAATACACCACCATTCTCTGCAGTCTTAAGTTCTAGATTTCTCCAACCACCTTCTTCCTGCCCCATAACCTTTTGCTACTTCAAGAATGAATAATCCTTGCATTGTTGTAGCACCTAATTATATTATCAAACATCTCAAACCATTTAACAGGATTTTTACTGTGAAGTATGGTGATTGAGTCTTTGTTAGTGAACCCAGCAGTCAATTTAAACCCAGTCCAGTCCCACAAACTACCATTAAGTGAATGACTAATTTTATCTGGAGGACACCAGGCAAAACTCACTTCTCTTTTCACAGGATCTTTATTATCCACCTGAACAAGTAGACAGGACCTCAGTTTAATGTGTCTTCTGAAGGACAGATATCTGACAATGATCTGCAGCACTGCAATGAAGCATCGGCCTAGACCAACACTAAATAAAATACTGATAGTTCAACTTTTTGTAACCCAATTGATAAAAGTGCAATAGAATGAATGTAAATTTACAAACTGTAAAATTTACAAATTGTACATTTGTAGACCACCTGCATGTCAGCTTGGATCACTTCGTAGCTCAGACAGCTGTGGTGTTTATACTTCACTCAAGTCTTCACCCACTCTTTACTCTCTCCCACACCCTTCTATTCCCTTCTCCCTTACGTGTATATCCAGCTTTCCGTTGAATGCATCTATACTATCCAATTCAACCATCATTTCAGGCAGCAAGCTCCACAATCTCACTACCCACTGTGTGAAGTTGTTCGTCCTAAATTCTCTTTTATATCCTCTAGTCGCTATCTTACACTTGTGTCCCCTAGTTATGGACTCCCCAAACAGTGGAAACAGTCTATTTTTGTTAATCTTATTGAACTCTTTTATAAACATCACTATTAGGTCCCCTCTTAAACATTGTTTCTTTAATGAAAAAAGGCCTAAGAGCTCAGGGATGCTACCGCGCGTGAAGGGCGCTATATAAATGCAAATTATTGTACTCTTTCCATCAATGCTATATCCTTATAGTGCGGAGACCAGAATTGGCCACGGTACTCCAAATATGGTCTAACCATAGTACAAATTCAGCATCACATCTTCACTTTTATATTCTATCCCTCTGGTCGTAAAGCCCCAAAGCCCATTGGCCTTTTTTAATAGCCTTATCTATCTGTGAGTTACTTATAGAGATTTGTGGATCTGAATCCCCAAGTCATTTTGCTCCTTTACTTCTCTTTGGGATTAATAATATTAATAATAATTTTATTACTCAATCCACAACTGCTTGTGGGACACTGTTGTACGCAATTGGTTGCTGCGCTTCACCCACAAAACATAGTCAATTCACTTTGCAGTATAATCTGTGAAGCACTTTGAGACATCTAGACAATGCGATAAGGCACTACATCAAGTGCAAGATTATTAGGTTCATTTTGTGACTAAGAATATAATCAAAGCACAAGATCATATGAACAAATTATTATTACTTCGTAAGCACGCTACAGCCCCCAAAACATTCAGTAACTAAGATAGATGGATAGATAGATGGATAGAACAACCAGACATTACTGCAACTCCGCTGAGCGATACTCTGATCCGCAATGCAAACTCCTACAACACAACAATTTCGCAGGAGGGAGAAAGCGATACCAATCAATGATCCTTCTTTTTGTTTTAAAAAAAATCAGATTGAACCCTCTCTTCCAATTTGTTTTTTTTAAAAAAAAATGTGCGCGCGCGAGTGTGTGTGTGTGTGCGTGTGTGTGTGTGTGTGTGTGTGCGCAACACATTAAAAAAAAACACGACAGGGCCCAAAACCTGACAGGATCGAACCTTTAAAATGTCCCCAACCCCCAAAAATATATACATATATATATATATTGCTGAAATCTTTCAAGAGGAGCAGTTTAAAATCTATATTAAAACACCCCCCCCACACACACACCCCACTCCCCGGCCGGGGCCGGGCCTACAGGAGGAGTCAGTCTCCGAGCTCAATTTCTGAGCCTCTCCAGCCCTGACGGCGGCAGAGGGAGGCGGGGGCTCGGGTGGGAAGAGGGAGCGGCGCGGGCAGGTCAGCGAGAGGCACTCACCGTTTGAGACTCGCCTGGGAAGACGCAGGCAGCGTGAGAGGGGATTTAGTGGCAGTGGAAGTCATACGAGGCCGAGGAGCGTTTTGGCGGCTGTGAGAAGCGGAGCTGATTCAACCGCCGCACGAAATGCCAGCACAGCGCCTGCGCAGCCCACCCGCGCCTCAGCCAATCACGGCGCCGATACTTCCCCGCCCCCGTCACGTGCTCCACGGCGCATGCGCCTCTCTGCTCTCCTTCCTCATTGCACCCTGTCCAACCCCTCCCCCACCCCCCCCTCAGCCCTCGCTCCCTCACTGCAGATCTCTGCTCTGCCCGTGTCCCCATTCCACGTTTCTCCCACAAAATACGGTCAGTTCACTTCACAGTATATTCTGTGAAGCGCTTTGAGACGCCTCAAAGACGAGATAAGGCGTGATATCAAACGCAAGGATTATTATCATCATTATTATTCCAGGGCATTGCTGATGGCAGCACATGGTTCATCGGCAGACCAGGCACCAGGGGCAGTGACTCGATACCTGCGCCTAATACTTGTAGGAATTAGGTGGGCAGGGTGCGTCCCTCCAGGGAGAGGATGCACATTCCATTCCAACAATCTATCTCTGGGATTTCCACGTGTAGGTGGGATGCATGGAATCTCAGCTTGGTTTGGGTACTCTTAAGCACGCTGATGGGTTTCTGCATGTGTCAGACACTCAGCTGACCAAAAATAAATGTCCACCCTGTCCAATACCCCCGGTATAGTCTGCCCCCTACCCCCTCAACACCAACACACACTTAAGTCACTGCAAGCTCTGCCCAAGTCCGTCCTGTCCAATATCTCCCCTCAACACACATTCCCTGCAACAATGTTTCCAATAACTTTCTCCCAGATACACGTACTGCAACCTCTGGGTATGTCTACTCGCCCCCCTCCCCCCCCCCCCAAACTCCAAGCAACTTCTTACATATCCAATTGCCTCCAACCCACACCTTGCTGCAACATCCGTCAATTTGTGAGATTTTATGAAGCTAGCCATGACTTGTAATAAATGATCCTGTTCGATGGTGGAAGAGAGACCAGGAGTAATTTTGGTGGGGGCAGGGGGGGGGGGGGTGTCAGCCAGCTACCTGACACGTGCTTAAGAGTATTCAAACCAAACTGAGGGTTCTCTGCATCCCACCATCCCATGCTTGAACATTCCAGAGATATTTATTAGAATGGAATATGTACTCTCTCCCTGGAGCACATCCTCCTTACCTAATTCTGGAAAGTATTAGGAACAGGTTAGTTGCCAAGAGCCAAGGCTTGGGGACACCAGCGTGTGCGTTGGGGTTCTGCTGGAGTATAACCATCTAAAACCGCATAGCTTGCCTTTGAGGGCACTACCTGGCAAGCCTTCTCACTGCGGCGATAGTGACGTCATGACTCCGGGGAACGCTGTCACTCGGGGATGGAGTCCCAGAAGAGTAGGTGAGCCAAGGGGTCTGTTGAATGGTGCAGCGGCCTCACACCCGGGTCAGGCACAGGCAACAACAACAAGATTACATTTGTATGGCGTCTTTCACGTCGGGAGGACATCCCAAGGCACTGGACAGTGTACAGCATTTCAGACGCAAGCTGGGGTCAAGGGGGAGAAGGGAGGAGAGGGGAAGGGGGGGTGACCAAAGGCATGGTCGAAGAGTAGGGTTTTGAGGCGGGACTTGAAGGAGGTTAAGGAGGGGGCGAGGCGGAGTGATTGAGGGATGGAGTTCCAGAGGATGGGGGCAGAGTGACTGAAGGCTCTCCCGCCAATGGTGGGGTGGGTGGATCGGGGGACGTGGAGCAGGCCGAAACCGGCGAGAATGTGGGAGATGGGGTCACGGAGTTTGGTGCAGGGGAGGACACGGGCTGCAGAGTTCGGGATTATCTGCAGCCTATGGAGGGAGCAGTTGGGAAGGCCGACAAGCAGGGCATTTGCATAGTGGAGCCTGGATGTGATGAAGGCATGAATAAGAGTTTCAGCGGCCTGAGAGGTGAGGTAGTGACGGAGTCGGATGATGTTACGGAAGTGAGGGAAAGCAGAGCAGGTCATGGCTTGGATGTGGGGAAGAAGACAGTTGTAGGTCGAAAAAGACACCTGGGTTCCTGACTGGCTTGATGAGTTGAAGTGTGCAACCGTGGAGGTTGACGTTGCCAGAGCCTGAGGTGCTGAGGCGCTGGCGCGAGCCAATCAGGAGGGCCTCAGTCTTGTTCACATTCAACTGTAGGAAGTTTGCCCTCATCCAGGACTTGATGTCCAACAGGCAGTCTGTCAGGATAGCAGTGGTCCTGGAGTTGAGGGTGGAGGCAGAAAGATAGAGTTGGGTGTCATCCGCATACATATGGAAGTTGACCCCATGTCTGCGGATGATGTCACCAAGGGGGAGCATGTAGATATTAAAGAGGAGAGGGCCAAGGACAGAGCCCTGGGGGACGCCAGACGTGACAGTGCGGGGGCTGGAGGAGGAACCATTAGAGGCAACAAAGTGGAGATGGTGAGAGAGATAGGAATCGAACCAGGCAAGGGCAGGTCCGCGAAGATTAAGTAAGGAGAGGCGGTGTATGAGGATGAAGTGGTCGACAGTGTCAAATGCGGCAGAGAGGTCGAGGAGGACAAGGAGGCAGAGGGAGCCCTGATTACAGATGTTCAGAATGTCATTAGTGACTTTGACCAGAGCTGTTTCCGTGCTGTGGGCAGCGCGAAAGTTGGATTGGAGGGGTTCAAAGAAGGAATGGCGAGAGAGAAAGGAGAGCTGGGAAGCGACAATTCGTTCCAGGATCTTAGAGAGGAATGGGAGATTAGAGATGGGGCAGTAGCTGGAGAGTAGGCATGTGTCCAGAGAAGGTTTTTTCAGGATGGGGTTAATGACAGCTGTTTTTAGGAGGGGTGGAAACTGAACCGGTTGACAAGGAGAGGTTGATGACGTTGGACAGGAGAGGGGCCAAAAGGTGGAGCTGGGAGATGAGGAGAGAGGTGGGAATGGGATCGAGGGAGCAGGTGGTGGGTTTGAGTTTGCAGACAGTCATGGTGAGGAAGGAGGGAGAGATAGGGTCGAAGGAGTATGGGGGGGATGGGTGGGGGGTGGGTCATGAGGGAGAGGTGATGCGGGAGTGGCTGTGGATGGGGCAGAGGTGGCTGAACGTATTCCCTCGATTTTGGTTTCGAGGAAATCCAGCATCTCCTCACAGTTGGAGTTCGAGGAGAGGATGGATGAGGCATGGCAAGGTGGACGGAGGAGACGGCTGGGGGTTGTCCTTTGCCTCCAAGATAACCTTGGAGTAGAAGGACGATTTGGCAGTAAGAATGTTGCAAATCTTGTTTGCATAGCACCTCACTCTCTCAGCTATATCCCTCCTGCAGGTGGTAAGAATGCCACTACCTTGTTTACATGATGCCTCACGGCCTCAGTATGTCAATTGATAAGAGAATTGCTTTCTCGTCTGCGTGAAGCCTCACTGTCTCAAATTATTCCATGTGTTTTGTGAGTGGCGAGCACCAAAGTTAGAAATAATGAGTGTTTGGACAGGCAGGCACAGCTGTACCATTGAGGGGCTTCTAATGAGAAGTTGGTTAGCTTGCCCACCCAGCTCAGATCCTAACTGCCATTATTTATTATGACTTTAACTTAATTTATAGCTTTGTCGTATTGTATGCTTGTGGCCAACTCCACCATAAACAAAATTCAATTAATTCAAAACTCCGCCGCCCAGATACTCACCCGCACAAAAGTCCGTACACCCATTACACCTTGGCAAGCACCACCCCCATCACACTTCGCCAGACTCCACTGGCTCCCAATTACTCTCCGGATCGATTTCAAGATCCTCTCATTCATTTTCAAATGCCCTTGCACCTCCCTACCTACCCGATCTGCTTATCCACCATGCTCTGCCTCCGCTCGGCTGGCTCCTGCCTCCTGTTTGTCCCTCGACCCCTCCGCCATTGCTGGACCATGCCTTCAGCCATTGTGCCCCGAAACTCTGGACTCTCTCCCTCAATCCCTCCACCTTGCCCCTTCTCTCCCCACTTTCAAATCCCACCTAAAGACCTTCCTTTTTGATCGTGCTTACGGTCACCTCCCGCTCCCCCTGGCTTGTTGTCAGATTCCTCCACTGTCAAGCCCTCCAGGACGCATACTGCATGAAGGGCGCTATATAAATGCAAGTTGTTGTTGTCACAATGCTTTCCAGCAGCAGTGGCCCCAAACCTCAGAGTTTCCTAATCAACTATCTGGTGGACATCTGCCTTCAGCATCGTGGGAGGATCCTTTACAGGACAGCTTGCAACGTGGCAGCCACCTTAATGCCACAAAAGACAAAACAAAATATTCTAACATTAAAAATAGGTTCCTGTCATGTGCAAGTATACTTTTGCTCCTTTTTGGTCTGAGGGCGATTGATAAGCAACAAGGTGGAACCAGGCTGAAATTAGCAAGAATGGGCCCAGCAGATTCTAGATCATAATTATGACCAAATATTTGTCGTTGAATGACTTTGTAGTTTAAAGAGATGGTCCACCAAGGAAACTAGAATTAGACAATAAATAGTGGTTCTCCAGTGTCATTTAAAAATGGGTAAAATAAAACTGTATACATTAGTAGTTGGCTACTATATTTTGTTTTGTTTTTGCAGTCCTTGATGATTTTTTTATATACCCTCAGACATGAATAAAATAACATCTAAGCTGTCTGGTTGCTATCTGTTCTACACTTCTTGGGAGAGTTGAGTGTTTTGGCTTTAGTTAGGGCAGGCAACATTGATTAAAGAAAGCTCAGTTTCTTGTTCCAGATCTAATTTTAGCACTTCTGTTGTTTAAATAGAATACAGAGTGTAGTTACTTCTCACCTCACTGCATTGACATTCACTCCATCTCACCGAACAAGTGTGGACCTGTGTCTTGTTCAACGCTCCAGGTGTCCTTCAAGCCCACATTCTACTCATGAACCTCACCCTGGTACACCAGTCATTTCCGCTCGCTCAAGGGTCAGGTGCATGCTGCTGAACGCACCTGGTTCAAATCTGATTGATCTGGCAGATCTTACCAGTCCGCCCTCACCTCCACTAAATCATCCTTCTATTCCGAGGTAATTTTGGAGGCCAAGGATAACCCCAAGCTTCTCTTCTCCACTACCAACCGGCTCCTCCATCCACCCTCTCACACCTCGCTCATCCTCTCCTCCAACTACAACTGCGAGGAGATGCTGGATTTCCTTGAGACCAAAATCGAGGGGATCTGTACTGCCACCCCTTTCCCATCTCTCTCTCACACTCCGGCCCCTACCCATCCCTCCCTCCACACCTTCAAACCTGTCTACCCCTCCTCTCTTACCACCAAAGAACCGACATGAGGCCCACCACCTACTCCCTCGACGCCATCCATACCCCTCACCTGCCAGCTCTACCTCCTTGCCCCTTTACTTTGATCTCATCAACCTCTCCCTGTCAACTGGCACCATTCCCACCCCCCTACAAACAGCTGTCATCACCACTATCCTAACAAAACCTTCCCTGGACCCATCCCTGCTCACTAACTACCATCTCCAAACTCCTTTTCCTTTCCAAGGTCCTTGAAAGAGTTGTTGCTTCACTCCTTCCTCTCCTGCCACTCCCTTTCCGAATCCCTCCATTCGGGTTTCTGTGCTGCCCGGAAACAGGGCTGGTCAAGGTGACAAATGAAATTTTTCTGTCTTCTTCTGTCTCCTCGTCCTCTCTGCGGCCTATGACACTGTGAACCACTCCATCCTTCTCCATCACTTCTCCTCTCACCATAACCTTCAAGATTCTGTTCTTGAATGATTCAGATTTTATCTCACACCAGTTCCACTTTGTCTCCACAAATGGCTTCTCCTCAAGCCCCCCGGTGTTCCTCAGGGCTCTGTCCTCGGTCATCTCTTCTTTAACCTGTACATGCTCCCTCTTAGTGACATCATCTGCAGACATGGGGTTAACTTCCACATGTACACGGATGACATCCAACTCTATCTCTCTGCTCCACCCTCAACTCCAGGACCACTAATGTCCTGACAGAATGCCTGTCAGACATCAATTCCTGGATGAGAGCCAACTTTCTACATTTTGAACATCAGCACCTCCACACCTCAGGCACTGGCAGCATCAGCATCCAAGAATGGACACTCCACTTCACCAAAGCCAGTCAGGAACCTAGGTGTTTTGTTCGACCCTCAACTGTCCTTGAGGGTCAGTGCCATGACCCGCTTTGCCTTCCCCCACCTCCACAACATTGCCCAACTCCGCCACTGCCTCATCAACTCAGGTCACCACAACCCTCATACATACCTTCATTACAATCAGGCTCAACTATGCCAACACCCTGCTTGTTGGCCTCCCCAACTCTTCCCTCCGCAAGCTGCAGATCATCCAGAACTCTGCAGCTCATGTCCTCCCGCACTAGGCTCCATGACCCCATCACACCCACCCTCAACCGGCTCCACTGGCTCTCCATCCCTCAGAGGATCGAGTTCAAAGTTCTTGTCCTCACCTTCAAGGTCATCCATGGCCTTGTCCCCTCCTACTTCACTGACCTGTTAACCCTTTATCAACCTGTCTGCTCCTTCTGCTCAGAAGGTTCTGTCCTGCTCCACGTCCCCTGCCCGGCCCGCCCCGGCAATCAGACCTTCAGCCTCTCTGTTCTCACCCTCTGGAACTCCATCCAATATTCCCTTTGTCTCGCTCTCCCTTACCTCCTTCAAGGCACACCTCAACTTTTCACTTCGACCATGCCCTCCACCCTCCCTGATCCCAACATCCTCCCCCTCCCAGCTCAGGTCCTAGTCCCTGACTGTACAGTGCCTTGGGATGCTTTAGTATTGTAATTTAGTAAATGTAATTTAGTATTGTACTGGCTTTCACCAGCCTGCATTACCCTCTCACCTCTGTAACAAGCTCTCTCTCAGAGCTGCTGAGACCTTTATTATGTCCAGGCTCGATTATTTCAAACTCCTGCTTGTCAGACTACAGGACCACTAAGTTCTGTAGTTTAGTGGTTAGAGCAATCACCACGCAAGCAAGAGGACTTGGGTTCGATTCCTGGGCATGGCGTGGCGAAACATTGGGCAAGTGTCCTTACTTTACACTCCTGGTTACCCAGCAGTAAGGTTGTTAGTCTATTGGCGGATCACTTTTCTGGGGATAATAATCCCTCCAAAAAATAAATAATTTGATCATTCAATCCATAACTGTTTATGGGACGCTGCTGTGAGAAATCGGCTGCCATGTTTCGCCCACAAAATATACAGTGAATTTACTTTATGGTATATTCTGTGTAGCATTTTGAGACTTCTCAAAGACGTGATAAGGCACTATCTCAAATACATGGATTATTGTTATTCAGATAGCCTTTACATTTTATAAAATGTGTAAAGCACAGAAAGCTATTCAGACCATCATATTCACATTGGTTCTACATCCTACACTGGAACTATCTGCTCAAACCTCATTCCTACTACTATTTTTCCACATCCTTATTATTTTTCAAGTATTTACTGAATTGTGTTTTTCAAAAAGCTAATTAAGTAATGTTAGCAAAAAATAAGTTAGCATATTCAGTCTAAATTCCATTGTAATATAGTGTTGTATAATAATGTTGCAAATCATTACTTGAATTTTTCACACCTGAAGACTTTTCTTTTATACCACTTATTTTATACCTACGATCACCTTCCCTTTCTCCCCGGCTTGGCATTCTAAATCTGCATCATTGCTCAGCACTCCAAGATGGTATCCACATGAAAAGTGCTAATAAATGCAAGTTGTTGTTTCTTTTCTACAATGTCTTCATTTAGGATAATTTCCCCCTAGCCCATTCCACTTTTCACCAACCATTTTAAACTCGACCTCTATAATAATAATGAGGCTCCGTGACCCTATCACCCCATCCTCGCCCGACTCCGCTGGCTTCCCATCACACGGAGGATACAGTTCAAGTTCCTGGTCTTCACCTTCAAAGACCTCCATGGCCTTGCTCCCCCGAGACCTCCTAACCCCCTACCATCCTGCCCACTACCTCCGCTCAGCGGGCTCCGGCCTGCTTCATGCCCCCCACCTTGCCCGCCTCAACATTGATAGATGGGCCTTCTGCCTCTCTGTCCCCACCCTCTGGAACTCCATCCTGCAGTCCCTCCACCTCGCCCACTCCCTTGCCTCCTTCAAGACCCTCCTCTTCGATCGTGCTTTCGATCAACCTGCTTTCCTCCCTGCCCTCCACCCTCCCCAATCCCGACCCCCAGCTTGGGTCCAAAACTCTGACTGTCCAGGGCCTTGGGACATCCTCCTGACATGAAAGGTACTATACAAATGTAATTTTATTGTTGTTGTAATGATTGTTGCATTTGATATATCGCTTGATCAGTCTTCGAGACGTCTCAAAGTACTTCACAGAATATACTGTAAAATGAATTGACTGTGAAACGCGGCAGCCAATTGCACACAGCAGTGGCCCACAAACAACCGCGGATTGAAATTGCCGAGTCATTATTACTTTTTTGAAGGAATTATTTCCCCGGAAAAGCGATCTGCCAATCTACTAACAACCATGTTCCTACTTACTGCTGCGTAAACCGAGGCGTGTGGAGTAAGGAAACTTGCCCAACATTTTGCCCTGCAGGGAATTTAACCCAGGTCTACTCGCTTGTGAGGCGAGTGCTCTAACCACTGAGCTACATGGCTCGATAGTCCTATCTTGAATACACAGACTCACTACTGAGACCTCTGAGCTCTCACTCCTTGTCCTGTTTGAATTTCCCGCTCATGCGCCATCCCTGGCACGTGACGACGGGCTCGGCCAATCTGCAGGTCACGTGCCCTCGGGTGGGTTTCGTGCGCCTATATATATATATATATATATATAATACACACACACACCCCCGGAGATAAAATAAAACATGTCACACATATATAAAGCTCATGGTATATGAATTGGTAATGCGGTGCTTCGGACGACACGTGGCTTTGCTGCGTCGGACGAGACGAAATGAAATACAACTCCCGCGATGCTCCAGTCCCCCGGAACGCATGCGCGCAAGTGCCAGCCAACCCATGAGCCGATGGTGCGCACGCGCGGCGTCGCCCTGCGGCCGGTGGCGACTGTGCTGGGAGCCAACGTGTCACGTCGCGAGTGGCCCGCGGGCCAAGGAGGGGGCCATGGAGCCGGCCTGGCGGCAGGCAGGGCGAGGGCGGGGCAGGGGACGAGGGCAACCCGGCGGCGGCCCGGCGGCACTTTCCCAGACCTTGTTGACGGCATCTGCCGGAGACTCGGGGCCCGGGAATGGCAGAGGATCGGGACCGCGCCCTCCCACCGCTGGTAAGTCATTCCGTCTGAAGCCCTCTCCCCCCTCTCTACTCTCCCTCTCACCCACTCCTTCCCTCCGCCTCTCCCCCTCCCTCTACTCTCCCTCTCACCCACTCCTTCCCTCCGCCTCTCCCCTCCCTCTACTCTCCCCCCTCCCTCTACTCTCCCCCTCCCCCCCTCTACTCTCCCTCCCTCTACTCTCCCCCTCCCCCCCCTCTACTCTCCCCTCCCTCTACTCTCCCCCCTCTCCCCCTCCCTCTACTCTCCCCCCTCCCCCCCTCCCCCCCTCTACTCTCCCCCTCTCCCCCTCCCTCTACTCTCCCCCCTCCCCCCTCTACTCTCCCCCTCCCTCTACTCTCCCCCCTCCCCCCCTCTCCTCCCCCTCCCTCTACTCTCCCCCCTCTCCCCTCCCTCTACTCTCCCCCTCCCCCCCTCTACTCTCCCCCCTCCCCCCTCCCTCTACTCTCCCCCCTCCCCCCCCTCTACTCTCCCCCCTCCCCCCCTCTACTCTCCCCCTCCCCCCTCCTCTCCCCCTCCTCTACTCTCCCCCTCCCCCCCTCTACTCTCCCCCCTCCCCCTCCCTCTACTCTCCCCCCTCCCTCTACTCTCCCCCCCCTCTCCCCCCCTCCCCCTCTACTCTCCCCCTCCCTCCTCCCCCCTCCCCCCCTCCCTCTACTCTCCCCCTCCCCCCCCTCCCTCTACTCTCCCTCCTCCCCCTCTCCATCTACTCTCCCCCCCCTCCTCTCCCCCCTCTCCCTCCCTCTACTCTCCCTCCCTCCCCTCTGCCCCCCTCTATTCTCCCTCTCCTCCTCTACTCTCCCTCTCCTCCTCCCCCCTCTACTCCCCTCCCCCTACTCTCCCTCCCCCCTCCCTCTTCTCTCCCTCTCCCTCCTCTTCCCCCCCCCCCCCCACTCTGCCCCACTCTCTCGATTCATTTGTGTTGAAACCCAAGCAAATCCGAAATCTCACTGATGACTTCAGAATAAATGTCATTGACATTTAAATCTGTGTTATCAAGCTCTTGGGCGCTACCCTGCATGAGGAGCACTATATAAATGCAAGTTGTGGTAGTGTGTGTGTGTTGGGGAGGGGTGTGTGGGAAAGGATATAACAAATGACATTTGTATCCGGCCTTTCATGTTGGGAGGTCGTCCCAAGCTGCTGGACAGTCAGGGAATTGGGATTTGGAAAGGCAATTGCATCCTGTAAGATGGGTGTAGATGATAGATGGAAAATCTCCTGTCTTACTTATGTTTTGTTATGGGAAATAATAGTGAACCATTAAAATAATATGTTTGCTTGTAGCTTGTAACACAAAATAATATAATTTACATTTATACTTTGCCTTTCACATTGAGGATGCCTCAAAACACTTCAACAACAACTTGCACTTATATTGCGCCCCTCCGCAGGGTAGTGTCACAGAGCGCATAACAGTGGCGGAGTCTGACTCCGAGCCGGGGGGGGGGGGTGGGGGCACGGCCGTTAGCATGGTCGAAGAGGAAGGTTTTCAGGTGGGACTTCAAAAAGAGGAGAGAAGGGGCAAGGTGGAGGGGGATTGAGGGAGAATGTTCCAGAGTTTCAAGTATTGAAGTCGATCTGTTCGGTGATGGGGAGCCAGTGGAGCCTGGGCCAGAACTGGTGAGATGTGAATACAGAGTTTGGTCCGGGTAAGTACGCGGGCAACAGAGTTCTGAAGGAGCTGGATCTTTTGAATGGTGGAGCTGGGGAGTCCGGCGAGAAGCGTGTTTGAATATCCAAGCGGGAGGTGACAAATGCATGCACGAGGGTTTCGACTGCTTTTGGGGAAAGGTATGGTCAGAGGCGGGCAATGTGGCGGAGGTTGAATAAGGCAGTGCTGGTCAGGGACCAGATGTTGGGGAGGAAGGAAAGCTGGGGGTCGTCTAGATTGCGCACTGGTTCGGTGAGTGTGAGGGAGAGCCCAGTGAGGTTGAGGAGTTCAGATCTGCTGGAGTGAAGCTGTTGACGGGAGCCAAGGAGTATGGCTTCTGTCTTGTCCACATTCAGTGGCAGGAAGTTTGCACTTATCCAGATCCTGATGTCTGCCAGACGGGCTGATAGAATATCGACGGACCTGGAGTTGGTACTGGAGGAGGCAAAGTAGATTTGTGTGTCGTCTGCATACATGTGGACATTTACCCCGTGTCTGCGGATGACATCACCCAGAGGAGCATATAGATAAGGAAAAGAAGAGGGCCAAAGATGGAGCCCTGGGGTACCCCGCAGGTGACCGGGCGGGGGTGGGAGGAGAAACCATTTGCTGAGATGAAGTGAAGGCAGTTGGTTAAGTGGGACTCGAACCATGGGAGTGCAGTGCCATTATGGTGGATGAGGGAGGAGAGGTGGTGGAGGAGAATGGCGCGGTTGACTGTGTTGAACTTGGCAGAAAGATCCAGGAAGACTAGGAGATAGAGGGAGCCCTGGTCACAGATAGAGAGGACATTGTTTGTGATTTTGACAAGCGCTGTCTTTATGCTGTGAGCAGGGAGAAAATTAGACTGCAGGGGCCCGAGGAGAGACAGGTATGACTGAAGTTGACCTGCAACAATGCGTTCCAGGACTTTGGCAAGGAAATGGGAGTCGATCCGTTCGGATGGGGAGCCAGTGGAGCCTGGCCAGAACTGGTGAGGTGTGCGTACGGAAATGGGACGATAGTGTGAGAGATTAGAGGGATCGAGGGTGTTTTTTTTGAGGAGGAGTGTGATAATAGTGGTTCTCAGGGTGAGTGGAACGGAGCCTGAGGAGAGAGACTGGTTGTCCGTGTCGGAGGAGGTTATTGAGGCAGGACTTGAAAGAGGGTAAGGAGGGGGCGAGGCAGAGTGATTGGGGGATGGTACATCCTCCCAACGTGAAAGGCGCTATACAAATGTAATCTTGTTGTTGTAAGGAGGGGGTAGTGGCAGGAGCTATGGTGGAGTGAGAGGGCAGTGCGGATAGTCTGGGTGGGGTGGAAGGGGACAAGGTGGGGGAGGATGATGTAGCCAAGCAAATGTTTTCAATCTTTGAGACGAAGAAGTCTAGGACCTCTTTGCAATTGGCGTTTCATGTGAGGATAGAGGGGGTTTGTGCACGGTGGAGGTGATGGACAGTGGAAAACAGCATTTTTGGATTGTTGTTTGCCTTCAGGATGATTTGGGAGTAAAAGTCAGTTTTGGCCTGTGAAAGGGAGAGGTAGTAGGTGCAGAGGTGCTCGAGAAACAGATACGCTGAATGATGAGGCCGGATTTCTGCCATCTGTGCTCAAGCGTCTGGGTTTGTGTTTTCAGTGAGCGTTTGTACCGGATGGAGTGGGTGGGTTTGGAAACAGCCCTGGATTTCAGGGAGCCAGGGAATTAAAGGTTGTGGTGAGATGGTCATTCAACAGCTTGGTGGCTGCATCAGGATTGCTGCAGGTGGAGGGCCAGAGGCAGAGCAGGTCCACGTGCGAGAGGGCACATGTGAGGGACTGGGAAACATTTCCCAGGGGGGGAAAAAAATGATGCAGGGCTTGGAAAAAGAGAAGGAGATAAGGAAGTGGTCCTAGATGGCCTTGTCCGTGATAGACAGGTCGGAAATGTCAAGGCCATGTGTGATGACGAGGTCGAGGGAGTGGCCACGGTTGTGGAGTCGGGGAGTTGATGTGGAGGGTGAGGTTTGGAGAGGAGGGCAGTGAAATCTTGAGGAGGTGGTGAAAGGGGAGTTTAGGTGGAGGTTGAAATCACCCATTATGAATAAGTGTTCAGTGGAGAGGGACAGGGATGAGAGGAGATATCAGTGAGGAAGGAACCAAGAAGTTTGGGGAGGTGGTAAACTAGGAAGATTTTGAGGGAGAGAGAGGGATGGTTAGAGGGCGAGGTGTTCAAAGGAGGAGAAAAAGCCAGAGGAATAGGGTGATAGACCACATTGAGGGCCACATTGGTGGAGGGTGGGTGATAAATGTAGCCAGGAGGGGAGGCTTCAACAAGGGTGATGGGGTCTGTAAGCCCAAGAGTATCAATGTGCTCATCCAGGATTATTGGAGAGGGAGCGGACATTTTGGAGAAAATGCGGATAGGTTTGCTGCTGGTGAGTGGGGGTGGAGGAGAAAGTGATATAGAGAGGATTTGGGGTCATGGAGTGGGAAGTAAAGTGATTTCAGTCAGTGTTGGATGGGTACCTGAACTGGGAGTGATAGCCAAAGGGGTGGGAAGGGGAAGGATGACCGAGAGTGCTGTCAAAGAGTTATGTTTTGAGACATGCTTTGAAAGAAAAGAGGGAGTTGGAGTTCCAGAGAGCAAGGGTAGACGGGTTGAAAACCTGCCTGGCAATGCTGATGCAGGTAGGCCAGGGGACATAAAGCAAGCCAGTGTTTGCTGAGCAAAGGGAATGGTCAGGACAGTAGGGTTAAAGGAGGTCACAACGGTAGGGTGGGCAAAACCGTGGACAGATTTAAAGGAATGAAGATCTTGGAACTCGATCCATTAAGAGTTGGGGGAGCCAATGGGGCTGAGTCAGGGTGGGAGTGATAGGCATGTGGGAACCTGGTTTAGGAGAGGACTGATGTGGTATACGTATCTGGATCGGGATGATTCATCCTTGCATTTTTCAATTTGCTATTTGTTATAATCTTTCGGGGGGAGAGAGAGAAATCCTCTTTGCTTCACTTTGTGCAGATTAGACCTCGAATTCAAGATCCTCATCCTCACCTACAAGGCCATTCACGGCCTTGCTCCCTCCTACCTCTCCGACCTACTATCCCCTTACTTACCTGCCCGTACCCTCCGTTCCTCTGGCTCCGGTCTGCTCCACATCCCCTGCTCCAACCGCCCTACCATCAGTGGCCGGGCCTTCAGCCTCTCAGCCCCGAGGCTCTGGAACTCCATCCCCCAGTGCCTTCGCCGCCTCCTCCCTTTCCTCCTTCAAGGCCGGTCTCAAGACCTTTCTCTTCAACCATGCCTTCAGCTCCCCTCCTCGCTCCCTCCCTTCCCTCCCCTCACCCTGACCATTGCCCCCCCTGCTCGGGTCCCGACCCAACTGTCCAGCGCCTTGGGACGTCCTCCCGATGTGAAAGGCGCTCTATAAATGAAATCTTGTTGTTGTTGTTCTGAGGAAATGAAGATTATTGTACATGAATTACCCCTGTAATATAATGCTTATGTAAATGTCTTCAACAGAACCATCATCTCAGAAAAAATTTGAAGATATTTGTAAGGCCAATCAGGCTTTAGCCCAAAGATATGCAGATGAGAACTTTTCATCTGATGAAGATGGAGAAGAGGAAGAAGATATTGAAGGCCAGCGTGGAAAAATTGTTGCCTCAACATTTACAACATACACAAGTCATGTCGGTAAGTATTATTTGGTTAAGTTTACCTTATAAGCTTCCTCTGAAGACGTAGGTGGTCATCTGTAAAACTCATCAACACTGGTTAGTAGCTCCCAGGTTCGATTTTCTGTGTTAAGTGCTCTCAGCTACAGAAACAGTGGAACCCCATTATAACACTGGTCTGTATATAATGTGACAGGGTTGTTGACCTCAACGTTTTCCAATATTAAAATAGCATATTCTGATAGTACCACTTCCAAGTCTCTCGGTAAATTTGAAAGTTTGCTTGAAATAGCATTATTACAAGGAAATCAGTCATGCTTCAAAATGTCCCATTGCACGGAAAGCTTTCAGCGGGATGACACGTTTGAAGCACAGCAACGCAATGTGCACTGATGGACCTGGCCTGCACTGTGGATGTTCAGTGATGTCACTGGTGAATTATGCCCTGTTTTAGGATTTAGGGATCCCATAACTATTCCGGGAATGTCTTTCCAACGTGAATGGTGCTATACAAATGTAAGTTGTTGTTGTTATGGGGTTCCATTGTAATTAGCCAAATCAGGCCAATACAGTCCAAAACATTGCTTTTAATTTTGCAACATTGCACTAAGGAAATAATTATTTCTCTCTACAATGTGATATTTTTCATCATTTTTAATTTAAAAAAAATGTGTAAAGAGTTGCTTGTGGGATAAATTGGCTGCTTGACTGACAAATGCAATCACTACACTTCACAATACACCCTGTGATGCAATTTGAGACATTTCAAAGATTGGATAAAGCGCTATATCAGATGCAATGATTGTTATTATAAGGTAATTTTGTCACTTTATTACTTTATCTTTGTGTGATGGGAGAATGTTTAAATTCCAAGAAGGTCTGAACTTATTATATATGCGCGAGAGTTGGTGTTTGGATACTCCATATTGAATTCAGGGGATGGTGGAATTCTGAGAGTCTAGGACATGAAGTCTTGCTATTTAAGGAATCTAAAATGCAAATCTGGGACCTTGTCTATCAAGTTCACATGAATGATAAATCTTTTGCTTTTGATATTAGGTGGAGATTCTTCTAGGGACCTAGAACGAACGAAACAATATCTGAATGAAGCATTTCAGTCAGGAGCTCTAACTTGTCTCATCTGCATTGCTTCAGTGAAGAGGAACCAGGCTGTAAGTATAACAACAACAACTTGCATTTATATAGTGCCACTCATGCAGGGCAGCGTCCCAGAGTGCTTGAAATAGTTCCTATCAAAAAGCAAAGGATGTTTGTATATGATTATTGTTGAATCTTATGTTTATTTTAGTAGATTATTTGTTTAGTTACCTGATTTAGCTTTTTAACAACTGTTGGTCCCTCAAGTATGACACAATGATTCTTAATCTAATAGTGTTTAATAACTCTGGTATATTTGCCTTGCACATACTCTTGTAAATAAATTAATATTCCTTATCTGTTCCAGGGACTTTATCCATGCTCATAACCAGCATTACTTGCACAGTAGAAATAAGGCTGAGAAACTGGAACATTATAGTATTCTGCATACTTAAATTAAGGCATCAAGAATGTATGAGCTAAAATGTTTGAGAAATGGCAATACAATATCATAAGAACATAAGAATTAGGAGCAGGAGTGGGCCATTCGGCCCCTCGATCTTGCCCCACCATTCGATAAGCTCATGGCTGATCTTCTGACCTAACTAATTACCTGCCCTATCCCCATAGCCCCTAATCCTTCTATTTTTAAAAAATCTATCAGTCTCAGCTTTGAAAATGTTCTCCATTTACTGAGAATATTTAAAATATATTTATAATGAATTGGCAGGTTAAAAAAATGTTTTTTAAACAAACAACTTTTATTCCTCTAGATCTGGAGTTGCTCTACATGTTATTGTATATTTCACTTGCCATGTATCCAGAAATGGGCAAAAGACAGCATTTTTCTTGTGTCCTCTGTGTTGGATGATGATTTTGGGAAAAAAGATCATCCATGGCCATGGTAAGCATAATTTGCACAACTTATAGATAATCCTTGCATTTGATATGTTGTCAAGACATTTTAAAGGACTTCACAGGATTTATAATAATAATATTTGCATTTGATATAGCGCTTTTCACTTCTTCTAGACGTCTCAAAGCCCTTCACAGAATATACTGTAAAGTGAATTGACCGTATTTTTGTGGGCGAAACCCGGCAGCCAATTGCATACAGCAGTGTCCCACAAACAGTCATGGATTGAAAATGACCAATTTATTATTGTTTTGTTTTTTGGAGAGATTATTATTAGGCGTGTGGAGTAAGGAAACTTGCCCAAGGTTTCGCCCTGCCTGGAATTGAACTCAGGTGTCTTGCTTGCAAGACTAGTCCTCTAACCACTGAGCTACAGTACTCCATGATTTACTGTATAATGTAGTCACTGTACTTTGTAGGCAATTATGGCAGCCAATTTGTGCGTAGCAGTGTCCCACAAATGGCCATTAAGTGAATGATCAATTTTATCTGTGTGATTGTTGGCCAGGACACCAGGGGAAACTCCCCTCATTTCGAATAGTCCTATGGTTTTACCTCAATTTCATGTTCGTCCAAAGAATGCCACCTCTGACAATGCAGAACTTCTCTAGAATGTAGATTGACACACTGACAGACACACTTGCTTTTCCTTGAAAGGTTTGATTTTCGCTTCGGCATCTTTACAATGATAAATATAAATGTATAATTTATAATCACTGGGACGTCCTCCTGACATGAAAGGCGCTTTAACAATGTCATTTTGTTGTTGTTGCCGCGGCTTAGCTTTGTCTGTGTTCTTTATTTTGTTCCTGCCGCCGTTTGGCTCCGCACAATGCCATTAGGTGTAACTGCAGTGCATGCGTACAAACGTAGGTGCTCTGTGACGCACGATGCCAAAGCGCCACTTTGACTCGGCGGCCACCAGGTGGAACTGCAACAAAAAACGCAAGACTGAAATATATTTTAGGTCATAACTCATGAACGATAAGAGATACCCAAAAACATGCCAATGTCACTCTCAGGTGCAAGACCTTTCTGATGAGGTATAAATCATGTCTCTACTTCAATTGGTTATTGAGATCCTTCTTGAAGCGCAGACAGACATTGTCTTTTTAATAGTGTGTATATAGAATAGATAAACTTTCTCTTTAAGAACCCATTCACATTTAGCAGAAAGTTTGATCTGCTGTGAAATGTTCCTCTCAGTTGTTCACAAAGTAAAATTGTGAAGATTAAAGGCAAACTGTTCACGAGCCTTGGATTTTTTTTTAAAAAAACTGACCTACAAACTTAAATTCCACCTAGTCTTAGCCAGAAAGACTATTTATCTTAATGTAAAATCATGGCGCATTGTGGGAAATTCTTACATTGAGTCATAATTTCCAACCTGATTTTCTGCAGTTCTTGTAAAGAACTTGCTTCCAAATAAGACTAAATTTTAAAATCTTCCATAATCATAACATTTAAGACAAAATAATGTCACAAGCTAAGATGAGGTGGAATTTCAGGTCGAAGAATGGTCCGAACTATCCTTTCAACTTATGTATTGTCCTCCTGCACTTGCTGATTTGTACTAATATTGAATATTAAACAGTGAACATACCAATTTGAACAAGATTAACAATATTACATTAGAAAATGTATACCAAGCTACAATTTCTCACTCTTACCTGTAAATGTTTTCAATTTATTTTAATCCTTCTAAAATTCTCTGTTGCACCATATTTGAATTGAACACACTGCCACCGTCTGTTTAAAAATTGAACTTTAACTGTTGTGTTCTTTCCAAAGTGTCGTCTTAGTTTTATCTGTATCTAAAATAGTTCCCCGTGCTTAGATTTTGATGGTACTTCAAGGCATTATAGGAAACCAATTTTTTTATGTTTAATTGGGTCCTGTTGTAAATTGAGTTTACCAATTTTTGAGCACCTGGAGGAAGTTTTTTAAAAAAAAATAGAGTAGAACTTTGATTCTTCAAGCCTTTGAATTATTGGCATTGTTATAGTAGCAGATTTGGACTGATGAATCTTCCAATATTTAATACAGTATTTGTTATTAAAAAGCACTAACATTACACAGCCAAAAATGCTTTTGAAACTACTCAAAAGAAAACAGGAGGAGGACACTCAATCTGTTCCATCAGTTCATTTGATCTTGTCAGATCTTTTCATCCCAATGCCCTTTTGTCAAGTGTTGTAAAACCTCTACGACCCAAGTAGAGCAGAGCCTTGTAAATAAAATGCCATTCTGCACTCCAGCAAAGTGGAGTGCCGAGTGGGAGACAGGACCATTCCCTCCGTTCAGCAGGCTCCACATGTCCTGATTAGGACACTACTATTTCCTGTTTTATGCACAAACCAGGAAGTGGCATTGGTTGTGACTTGTTGGCTTCGAAGTACACCATGATTTAACATGGAAAGCTAAAATGGCCGTCATCTGGGTCATTCATTGGATTGCTGTGAACATCACTTCCTGTGTTTTTACAAAGCAGGAAGTTATGCCAATGGTGACCTAATGGCCTGGAAATTGGCCATTTTGCGCAAGCATAAGTGAGGTCTGGAGTGTATTCGTGTTGTATTCAAATTTGTAATTATAAAGAAGTGCATTATGTATCTGTCTATCTCTTTTAATCATCCTTATTGATTCTACCTCTACAGCTTTCTGGGGCAGTGCACGCTACCTTAATACAACCCTCTGTGTGAAAAATGCTTATTGACCTTCATTCTAATTAATAATACTTGCATTTGATATAGCGCTTTACCCTGTCTTTGAGACGTCTCAAAGTACGTCACAGAATATACTGTGAAGTGAATCAACTGTATATTTTGTGGGCAAAGTACCACAAAAGATACAAAATGAACACATTGTACAACCAAGGTCTGATACAACAACAAAATTGTATTTGTAAAGCGCTTTTCACGTCAGGAGAACGTCCCAAGGGGCTGAACAGTTGGGGATAAGGACCCGAGCGTGGTGGTGCAGGGTTGGGATAAGAGGGCAGAGAACTAGGAGGGCGGCTGAAGGCTCAGTTGAAAAGAAGGGTCTTGAGTCGTACCTTGAAGAAGGCAAGGTGAAGGGACTAGGATGGAGTTCCAAGCGGTGGGGGCAGAGAGGCTGAAAGCCCTGCTGCTGGTGGTAGAGCAGGTCAGGCGTGACACATGGAGCCTGCTGAATGGAGTGAGCGGACCTGTCTCCCACTCCTCTCTCATCACCACTATAACCCGCATGAAACCGACCTTCTGCTCCCTCGACACCATCCCTACCCCTCTCCTTACCTCCCAGCTCCACCTCCTTGTCCCTCTATACAGACATCATAAACCTCTCCCTGTCCACTGGTACTATCCCCACCCCATTAAAAACCGCCGTCATCACTCCTATCCTTAAAAAACCCTTCCCGGATCCATTTCTACTTCCAAACTACCCCCCTATCTCCAACCTCCCTTTCCTCTCCAAGGTCCTGGAACAAGGATTAAGCTGTTGTTTCCCAGCTTCTCTCCTTCCTCTCCCTACACTCCCTTCACGACCCCTCCAATTGGGTTTCTGTGCCGCCCACAGCGCAGAAACAGCCCTGGTCAAATTGACAAATGACATTCTGTCCATCTGCGACCAGGGCTCCCTCTGCCTCCTCTCCTTGTTCTCCTTGACCTCTCTGCTGCCTTCCAACCACTCTATCCTCATCCACCACCTCTCCTCTCACCTCAACCTTCATGGCTCTGACCTTGACTAGTTCAGATTGTACCTCTCGCACCTCCTCCACTTCATCTCCACAAATGGTTTCTCCTCTAGTCACCGCACCGTCTTGTGTAGCATTCCTCAGGGCTCTGTCCTGGGTCCCCTCCTCTTCAATATCTAAATGCTTCCTTTTGGTGACATAATCTGCAGACGTGGGGTCAACTTCCACATGTATGCGGATGGCACCCAACTGTACCTCTCTGGCTCCATGCTTGACTCTAGGACCACTGCTATTCTGACAGAATGTCTGTCAGACATCAAGTCCTGGATGAGAGTTAACTTTCTTCAGTTATACGTCAACAAGACTGAGGCTCTCCTGATTGGCTCCCGTCAGCGCCTCCACACCTCAGGCGCTGACAGCATCACCATCCATGGTTGCACACTCCACATTGCTAAGCCAGTCCGGAACCTTGGCGTTTTGTTTGACCCTCAACTATCCTTTCTACCCCACATCTGCGCCATGACCCGCTCTGCCTTCCCCTCCTCCGCAACATTGCCCGGCTCCGTCACTGTCTCACACCGCAGGCCGCCGAAACCCTCATACGTGCTTTCATTACATTGAGGCTTGACTATGCAAACTCATTGCTTGTTGGCCTCCCCAACTCCTCCCTCCATAGGCTGCAGATCATCCAGAACTCTGCAGTCCATATCCTCTCCCGCATCAAGTTCCATGACTCAATCACTCCCATCCTCGACCGACACCACTGGCTTCCCATCACACAGAGGATACAGTTCAAGATCCTAGTCCTCACCTTCAAAACCCTCCCTGGTCTTGCTCCCCCCAACCTCTGCAACCTCTTAACCCCCTACCATCTTGCATGCTCCCTCCGCTCAGCGGGCTCCGGCCTGCTTCACATCCCCTGCCTCGCTCACTCCATTAATGTCGGGTGGTCCTGCCACTCTGCCCCCACCCTCTGGAACTCCATCCCACAGTCCCTCCGCCTTGTCTCCTCTCTTGCCTCCTTCAAGATCCATCTCAAGATCCTCCTCTTCAACCGTGTTTTCAATCTCCCTGCTTCCCCTTCTGTCCTCCACCATCCCCAACCCCCAGCTCTGGTCTGAAACAAGCCTTGAGGTGACAAATGCGTATATGAGGGTTTCAGCCTGAGGAGTGAGGCAGTGGCAATATAGACTATAATTGAGAAGCACCTCCTTTTAAACTCTCTGCCTTCTATCTCGCGATTTACTGTCCCTGACACAATACTCACTTGAACTACATGTGCCTTAATATTTAGCTAATAAGCTTTCATGCAGTACTATCAAATGCTTTCTGAAAATCATATAAATAGCGTTCATCAAATCTGTGGTTTTGTTAAATAGCTCATTAGATTTGTTTCCTGTTTATAATTAGTCCTTTAAGTTTCCCAGTTCTCTAAACTCTACATCACTGTTGCTTGTTGTAATACAGGATATAATTTATTAGATGAAGTCAATTTTTTTTAAATTGCATGACGCCAAACAAAATGTTGTACATTTTTCAGTATTCGTTTCAATGAAATTCTGTTTCCTGTTTAGCCCTAAATGTAGGCATGAGTACAAACCATCTCAAACTCCAACCAGATGTTATTGTTACTGTGGAAAAGTGGAGGATCCCCCACCTGATCCGTGGCTTGTACCTCATTCCTGTGGCCAAGTTTGTGACAAGGAATTCAAGCCTTTATGTGGACATAAGTGTCTTCTTTTATGTCATCCTGGTAAAGTGATATTTAGAATTGCTTTCACAGTTTTGCATGATTCAAACCTTGTGCCACGTAACTAAAGAAGTGTTTGTGATTTAGGTCCTTGCCCACCATGTCCAAAGATGGTCTCTGTAACCTGCTATTGTGAAAAGGCTAAACCAGTGGCCCGGCGATGCAGTGCTAAGGGATGGTCCTGTCAGCAGTATTGTGGACGACTTTTATCTTGCGGACAGCACAAGTGTGAAAACTCATGTCATCCAGGTTGGTGCTTCAAATCTAAATAAGGTGGAATCTGCTTTTGCTGGACGTCGGTTACCCCCGGATGCGTCGGTAAACCAAAACGCCTAGTCCCGATTCATTTGTAGTCTTACCTGTTTTAAATATGCCTGTTAATCTAGGAAAAATGCCGCACTAGTCGGCGCTGAATGTACTCACTCGGGTCTTCTGTGAGTCGAGCCTTCAGCCTCAAGGGACTCTGGAATGTAGATGGAAGGAGTCAAATTGTGATTGACAGCGGACTCCAGCCAGTCCCAAGTAGCTGGAGTTGTGCGGTCAATCAGAGGAGCAAGGGAGGGAATGGGAGGAGTCAAACTTTTTCATTTAAAATAGGCAGAGGAGAAATAAATGATGGTATTGATATCCAGGCAACTCCCTACTGTCCTTGTTGGGACTTGGATGTCAAGTCATTATTTTAGTTCTTTGTGTTACCTTTCCTACTGGAGGCAAATTTCACAGTCAAGCAGGATTCTATGAATGTTGTTAGTACCACTTTGGTTGTCCCGAAATATGATTGAAGAGTGTGTAGAACAGTAGATCATTCATTGATAATGTGCTCTTACAAAGGGAAATCCCATTAATAGGATATGACAAAGTATTGAACTTACTGGCGCACAGAACATCACCCATGAAGGCTATTTCTCAGAGATGAAGAATGCAAGTATCCTTGTAGAATGCCAGCACAAACTAGTTGAACCAAAGAGCCTTTTTCTCTGCCGTATTACTCTTATGTAATTCCACCATTCTACCTTCTTTCGATCACCCTGCTTTCCACCCTCCCCGAAACCGAACCCCAGCTCGCATCTGAAACTCTTGACTGTCCAGCACCTTGGGACTTCCTCCTGACGTGAAAGGCGCTATACAATGTAATTTTGTTGTTGTTCTTTCCATTATATCCTTTGTCTTTGGTTCAGTGTTCTAGCCTCTACCATTCTTCGTGGTAACCCTTCCAGTTGTTGATTGCCCTCTTTTGCGAAGAAATACTTCCCAGCGTTTGTCCTGAAATTGCCCTTCAAAACCCTGAGAAGAATCACTTAATCTGTTTGAAAAGCGAACATCTCTCCCAATTAGAATAGGTGGATATGGTAAGACAGCCTTGTTGAAAATCCTGACGTATTTTAGAGAGGAGTTCCAAATCACCCAAAGACAGCTATTTTAATTCTTTAAAAGTCCTTCAGCAATTTTTTCGTGCGATTTGCAGTGTAATTCCTGCTTAATAAAGCAATTGTAAATTTTAGATATAGCTGCATTTCAAAGAAGACTGCTCCTTCAGTATTGTGATTTTTTTTGTTGTTGTTGGGCTCATGATAGCAAGGATCCCAGTGCTGTGGAGTAGAATAACAAGGGAATCCTTTCACTTCATTAATCTGGGATAGATCTGAATCCAGGTCATGGAGGTGAAAGGGAAATGTGGTAACTTGCTGCACCCCTCACCTGTCCTTACAACATTTACTTAGAAGTGTACATGCAGAAATATTATGTCCTGTTAAGGTTTATTTTGTTTCTGCTTTTCCCTCCAAAACATCCTCAATCTGTTGAAATGAGACACTCGTGTTACAGATAAACCACTTCATTTTGGCAAGAAAATTGTCTTCTTGCCAAACTGAAGTTTACTGACTGCACTCATACAGTGTGACTGCTCTGGTTTGGCAATTACTGAAACCTTTGTGCAGTCATTGAGTTTAAATTTGTGTGTTTTAAGTCTGATTATTTGTGTATTGTGGAACCATGCCCAATTGGAGATTTGTGACTGCGTAAACTCGGCTTGTGTGACAACCTTACAGCCAACAGAAAAATCGTTCATTTTATCAGTCCTGGTGGATTTAAATCTGGATCCCAAGTGGAAGAAAAGTCTACTAAATCACTGCTTATTTTCTCCAAAACCCCATTTCATAAAAACTTTGTATTCATTTATACGCCTGCAACTTTCTTGTTTTTGCATTACCCATCCAGAAAACAGTATGCTTTCAGGGACTAGAAATGTTTGTCAATAATTAATATTCTCTTTATTGTCTATTATATCTTAAATAATTTATATGCTAATTATTGCAAACTGACTTTGAGATAATTGGTAGGAGTTGAATGGAGGTGCTCTGATATCTATATTTAAATTATACAACGCTCTTAACTATTCCTTTGAATACTGTTTTTTATAACAGATACCTTTTGTGAAGTGGTTGGAATTGTGGTTACTCTTGTCATTTGGGAAGGATAATTTTATGAATACAATAATTGAGGTGCCTAAGTAAGAAGTTAGGACTTCCTGGTATTAATGGATTACATGTTTATTACTATTTTATTACTATTGTGATATTGCAGTATCATCACACTTTTTGTGATGGAAAGTGTTCAATAGTTATCCTCTGAGCATTGTATAATGATTGAACTCAGGATTGTTCTTACTATTCATAACTTCTGTACATTTTAGGTGATTGCCAAGCCTGTCCTCGTGTCAGTAAACAAAAGTGTCTTTGTGGCAAAAGAACAACTGAGCGCTTGTGTGCTAGTCCACAATGGCAATGTGAACAGGTAAGACACATTTAAGTTAATTTAGTTCATTAAAGAACCACCATTTCCTTTGAAATCTGTTGGAAAGTGTGTAATGTACAAGGAGAGGGGTGTGCAGAATGGACAGACATTAAATTGTTTCAATCTTGGAAGGAAATATTGTATTTTTAATATAATTTTATACCTGGGACCGCACCAAAGTGGATTTCACTGTTTTCACTTGTATATTTCAATACTTCCATGTTAAAGGGTATAGCTAGCTTCTGTGTTTTGTTTTAAATTTTAACTTATCAATAATCCATTTTCAAATTATTTCTGTTTAGGTGTGTGGAAAAACACTGTCTTGTGGTAATCATACATGTGAAATGATCTGCCACACAGGCCTTTGTGGAAATTGTCCTCGATCAGGATACAGGGCTTGTCCCTGTGGAAAATCAAGTATGTATATTCATTTTAAATGTAAAGTTGATGCATTGGGATTGAGGAAGTTAACTGATATGATGTCAAACTACTTTAGGTGGCTTTTGACACTTGGTTGCACATTTTAGCATGTTACGTGAATGTTATTTTGTGATCCTTGTCATGATGTCTTTACTGGAGGGCAAACCCTCCTCCTACCCCTCTGTCTCACTCCCCCCATCTCTCTTGCGTGTCTTGAAGCATATTTCTTCAACCACACCTATGATCAACCTCCCTTCCTCTCTTCCCTGCTTGGCCCTATGTTTCTACTGCACACCCAAGATGTTATCCTACATGAAAGGTGATCTATAAATGAAAGTTGTTGCGGCTGATTTTTAAGCATTTTGTTTTCTTGGATTTTTTTCCCTCATAATTTATAAACATATATTGATCTCATCCTGACTCAGCACATTTTATGCAAAGGTCATTGAGTGCCTGAGTTCTGCACCAAGGTTTATCTGCTGGTCTGACCCAATTTAATTGATCTCACTAACAGTTTTACTGAGGCTTTCCTCAGCACATCAGATTAGGGAATGAATAAAGCAGCTATGTTCCCCATTCATGATCATCATTGAATCTTGTGCTGTAGATGTGACTCATCTGGAGGTCCTTTGTGGGCAAATAGCTGGCTGAACCTTGCTGTCGAGGTTTGTATAAATAATGGGCTACTTTGAGGTGCTGGACGGTTACTTGTAGAATTGTGCTCCAATAGATGAAAAAGGAATCCACACCTTTAGGACAGGAGGGGAGAAAACTGACAAGCAAGTTTTTAAAATAAAGGTAACTTTGACATTTTTGAAACAAACCACTGAAATTCTAAAACTAGGACAGATTGGATGACGGTAACAGCCTGGAAAAGGAAAACTAATGACTGAATCGTGGCGTGAAATAAAGCTCACTATTCACAATTACTTATCTGCCTAACATTTTATTAATTAGCTCTTCGTGACCAGTTACCGAGGAAGCACAAATATTTGCAGACATTAAATATTTGCCATTTTAAACTGTTTACAGTAGGGTTAAATGGGAGACTGCAATCACACGAGCCTTCCCTTATGTTGCAGTTCAAACATTTGTATAGTAAAAGCTCTGTAGTCTACCAAGATTCCTGCAAGAAAGTGTATTACAGATTAGTTTTCTCACCTTTTCAGTAGATTATACCATATTTCCAAATGCAGAAGTAATGTTCTTCCAAAAACATTTGAAGGAATCTATGTCCCTTTTAACTGTTTTCTACCTCTTATTCTCAATATAATATAATTTATGAATTATCTTTATTTTAAATGAATGTTTAAGTGTTTCATCTGCCTATATCAAATGCAAGATTATTATTTAAATTAATCAAATTAATATTTATATTATGGTGTGTAATCATCAAGGTAAAAAAATTAAAAATATAATTCCAATATGTGTAGGCAAGATCATCCTGCCTAGACAACTCAGTCTGTGGAGGATGTTCGGAATTGCCCATCTAACTACCTACCTGTAGGGTTGTTTTCATTCTTCAACTTTAGAGCACCTTCCGCACACTTCCATTCTATGAATAACACCAATGTTTTTTCAGGGGATGCATAAATAGTACGTTGTGGACTGCAGTGATTGTTGTCAGTATTCTCCAGTTAAGTTGTATTTATTTATGTTCTGTTCAATGGAACAACAACCTTTCTTTGCAAATTAAAATGGTGTTTTATTTATTGTTCAGAATATACACTGCCTTGCACAGAGGATATACCAACCTGTGGTGACACTTGTGATAAACCACTTGAGTGTGGCCTTCATAGATGTTCAATGCGCTGCCACAGAGGCACTTGTGAGACCTGCCGACAGGTGAGAAGACAGACAATATTTTTAATATTTCTTTGTCCAGGTGGACATTCGTGGAAATCTGTGAGATTTTACATGAGTTTAGAAGTCCCCTGAGCTTCAGTAATGTCCTTCCTTTCTAATGCTGGGATTAGGTTTTACATCCTAAAAAATGCAGTCAGACTTTCTGTACAAAGAAAGGGAAACTTGTTTTATTGACTGTTAGTGTGTTTTATTTCCAGGATGTAGAAAAGCAGTGTCGCTGTGGGAAGCACACAAAATGCATGCCATGCCACAAACAGTACCTGTGTGAAACAAAATGTACCAAATTACGGGATTGCCAAAGACATCAGTGCAAGAGGAAGGTAAGGGGCAAGAGATTTTCTTTTTGAAAAAAATACTTTTACCACCTTTAGAACTGGCCTATTTTATAGCCGTAATATTTGATTAAAAAAAGTTGTAATTTGTGTCTTAATATCATATGGCTAAATTCTGTTTTATTGAACTATAAACAAAAACACTGAATAGGATACCACTGCCTTGCTTAGATTACAGACTGACCATAGATTCCAGCTTTAAAAAGAAGTCTAATTTCTAGGTCATCTGGTCACTGCTGTCGTTGCTTCTTACAATAACAACAAAATTACATTTGTATAGCACCTTTAACGTCTCAAGGCTCTGGACAGTCAGTATTTCGGACCCGAACTGGGGGTCGGGATCGGGGAAGGTGGAGGGCAGGGGGGAAGGAGGGTGATCAAAGGCACGGTTGAAGAGAAGGGTCTTGAGACGGGTCTTGAAGGAAGCAAGGGAGGGGGCGAGGCGGAGGGACTGCAGGATGAAATTCCAAAGGGTGGGGGCAGAGTGACTGAAGGCCCACCCGCCAATGATGGGGCAGGCGAGGTAGGGGATGTGAAGCAGGACAGAGCCCACTGAGCTGAGGGAACGAGCAGGATGATAGGGTGTTAGGAGGTCCCAGAGGTAAGGGGGAGCGAGACCATGGAGGGCTTTGAAGTTGACGACCAGTTCTGGATGATCTGCAGCCTATGGAGGGAGGAGTTGGGAAGGCTTAATGCGAGTTTGAGGGTTTGCGGTGTGAGACGGTGGCAGAGCCGGGTGATGTTGCGGAGGTGGGGGAAGCCAGAGCGGGTCATGGCACAGATGTGGAGTAGAAAGAATAGTTGAGGGTCAAACAAGACGCCAAGGTTCTGGACTGGTTTAGCAATGTGGAGTGTGCAACCATGGATGGTGATGCTGTCAGCGCCTGAGGTGAGGAGACGCTGCCAGGAACCAATCAGGAGAGCCTCGGTCTTGTTGACGTTCAACTGAAGAAAGTTAACTCTCATCCAGGACTTGATGTCTAACAGACATTCTGTCAGCACAGCAGTGGTCCTGGAGTCCAGGGTGGAGGCAGAGAGGTACAGTTGGTGGTATCCGCATACATATGGAAGTTGACCCCATGTTTGCGGATGATGTCATCAAGAGGGAGCATTTAGATATTGAAGAGGAGGGGACCCAGGACAGAGCCCTGATGAACACCGCACGAGACAGTGCAGGGGCTGGAGGAGAAACCGTTTGTGGAGATGAAGTGGATACTGTGTGAGAGGTACGATCTGAACCAGTCAAGGACAGAGCCGTGAAGGTTGAGGTGAGAGGAGAGGCGGTGGATGAGGATAGAGTAATCAATAGTATCGAAGGCAGCAGAGAGATCAAGGAGGACGAGGAAGCAGAGCGAGCCTTGGTGGCAGATGGACAGAATGTTATTTGCCACTTTGACCAAATCTGTTTCTGTGCTGTGGGCGGCACAGAAACCTGATTGGAGGGGTTCGTAAAGCCAGTGGTGGGAGAGGAAAGATCAAAGCTGGAAAGCAATGACTTGTTGCAGGTCCTTGGAAAGGAAAGGGAGATTGGAGATAGGGCGGTGGTTGGAGAGCAGGGATGGAGCCAAGGAGGGTTTTTTAAGGATAGAGTAATGATGACCGTTTTTAAAGCAGTGTCATTGAACAGGGGGAGGTTTATGATATCTGAGTAGAGGGCAATGAGGTGGAGCTGGGAGATAAGGAGAGGGCTGGGGTCGAGGGAGCTGGTGGTCGGTTTCATATGGGTTATAGTGGTGATGAGAGAGGAGTGGGAGTCAGGTTTGAAGGTGTGAAGGGAGGGATGGGTAGGGGACGGGGTGTGAGGTGGAGGTGGGGAGGGCGCAGTTGATGGAAGGGCAGAGGCAGCTGAGGGTATCCTCTCAACTTTGGCTTAGCATCACCTCACAGTTGGCGTTAGAGGAGAGGATGGGCGAGGCATGAGAGGGCCAGGTGTGAGAGAGTGGGCAGAGGAGTGGTGTGGTGATGGAGAAGAAGAGTCTAGGGTTGTTCTTGGCCTCCAAGATTGTCTTGGAGTAGAACAATGCTTTAGAAGAGGTGAGGGCGGAGTGGTAGGACTTGTTAAGGTCCAGTCAGATCTGCCTATGGACTGTTAAGTTGGATTTGAGCAAAGTGCAGTCAGCGGTGCCTTAAGGGAGCGGAGGTGGCTGCTGTACCAGGTTGACTTTCGTGAGTAGGAGACGTTTGGGGAAATGAGGGGAGCAAGGGCATCGAGAGTGGTGGAGAGGGAATTGTGGAGGAGAGTGACCAAGGAGGATAGGTCATTGCGGGAGGAAGCCAAGTGGGGGAGTAGTTCAGATGACTCCCAAGGCAGCGGAGAGGGAGGGGGTGGGAGATTTTTTTCCTGGGGAGGTAGGAGACGGAGGTGGGATTGGGGCGGTGGCAAGAGGGATTGAGGAGTTAAGGGAAGTGAAGGAAGCTGTCCCATTCAGTGGTATTGTTATGACTGACAAAGTTTTATTCCTGTCATATCTGTTGGAACCTCCATTCTCTAGACTCTTCTTTGATAATGATACTGTATTATCCCCAAGAAATATGCTTCCAGACTTTCTCCTTCCTTTTTNCTGTCTCCTCAGCCTCTCATAGATTCCAACGCTTTTCTCTCTGTATCTCCTTAGAAATGTGTTCATTTTCAAATCTGCTCATCAAAGGAAGGTGATTCCTTCCTTTTTATTCTTCAGAATGACTGCCTATTGCTGTTACATCCACCCATTCTAACATTTTGGAAACTGCCATCTGTCAACTTATATTATCATCATCAACTTATATTTTTTAGAACCTTGAAAGTTTTGGCCTGTGCTCTCCAGTATAGATGTTTATTTTCTGTATCCAATGTTACTGTGCAGTCAAGTCACAAAATAATCGTTGGAATTGATCAGGTTCTATTTGTGGTCAGAAACAAAATAATTGTTCTGAATTGGACTCTTAAATGCTATACAATTGTGTTGGTTGACTAAGGGTTTGTGCCTGGACTATTAGGAGGTAATTGCAGACTTCCTAGGTACTGTCAATTGTGTCGTCTGCATATTTCCTATACAGAATTCACACAAGTATGTGTTGAGGATATGTATATATATGAACAACCTATCGGACAGTAACCACATGTTTGTACATAAGCAAATGGTTATGGGAATCACTGATCTATCTATCTATCTACTAAGTGGGATAAAGATTCACTTCAACTATTAAATGATTGGAATTTCCTGACTTTTGCAGAAAGGGAAAATAGCAAGGATTCTAGTGTGTACCAATATGTAGTAGGTTTTTGTAATGGAGTCACAGTGCCACATTAGTTCTGAAGTTAATTCTGTGAATAGAAATTGGAGCATTCAAGATCAATTTGTATTTTTTGTTTAAAACCAAGGTTGATTGATATCTACTTTGAAGTTGAAATGAATTAATTCAACTAGGTTTGAAGTATTTTCTGCTTCAGGACAGAGACTGAATAATCCTTCATTGTTCTTTACTTTTAGTGCTGTTCTGGGAGCTGCCCTGCATGTGACCTGAGCTGTGTTCGAACACTTGGTTGTAGAAACCACAAGTGTCCGTCAGCCTGTCACCGAGGTAACTACATTTTTAGAATAAATTATTTTAAATTCAATTAATGAAGAAGCAGAATTTTTTTAAAAAATTCATACAGCGTTGGACATTTGAGAGACAGTGAGAAATGATTTTTCTTTATACGGATGCCGTAAATTTTTCAAATTCATTTAGTTAACTTTAGGGCGATGGATAATGCAACTTGTTAAAAAAATCTTTTACTGAAAGATTTAATATTATGCCTGGACTAGGATTGAATGTTCCAAACATTACGAATCTTTGGCATTCATACCAACTCTTTCACAAATCAAAGTTCTAAACTACAATGCCATTAACCCTCAGTTTTACTTTTTGGAAACAGTTGCTTCGATTGTAGTTCCTCCATTACAGCTAGTGCTGTTTTGGAAGAAATCTTGAATTTTCAAAGAAAGGAGAACAAAACTAAATTGCTTGTTTAGATTTGATCTGGTACCTTAATGAACTTTCTCGTGGATTGGCCTGATAATTCCAGCAAAAAAATGATTATATTAAATTCCATACTTCTACACTATATTTGTCGAAAAGGAATTATCCTGCGATTCCTATTTGTTCAATCTCTTAAAGTAATGTTAATTCCGGTGACCTTTTCTCCTACTGATTTCTGAAGCAGTGTCCTTTTGCTTCCATTTGTTTTCTTAATCTGATTGTGAGGCGAGAAAAAGGTTATTCAATTTGAAAAATTTACCCTGTACAGCTTTAGTGTAGATGGCCTTTATGTAAATCGAATGTGAATAAATGATATCTACTGTAAATGTTGTGCAACTTCGTTTTCTGAATGCTGAACACAAATTCTGTAATTGAGTTTTCTTTTCAAAGTTATTTGAATAACAGAACTATTTCCAATTTCCTTGGTGCTAATCGACAGTGACATTCAGGAGCAGAAACAAATCAATAAATGCTCAAGTGAGGTGGATAAATTCATATATTTTCCCCATCTCCCCCCCTCCCCCATCCCACTTGCAGACAGCCTATGGAAGATCTACCTTAGCAGGTCTGAAAACCTGAAAAGAACCTCATGGCTGCCTGGTTTTATTCAAGTCACACTTAAGGGCTTGGACCTCACGATCTCGGCTGACACTCCCATGTAGTGCTAGGAGTTTGCTGCAATGCTGGAGGCATTAAACCAAGGTAACATCTGCCTGTTCAGGTGGATGTTAAAGATCCGAGGGCACTATTCGATAGGTAGTGAAAAGACAAGGGAGTATCCTGTCCAATAAACCACCAAATAAAATTGGTTACTCGCTTCATGAAATATTGTGCCCAAATTAGCTGCCATGTTTGCCTACAGTAATTACACTTCACAGTAAAATCTTGTGAAGTGCTTTGAGACTTAACAATGTGAAAGACACTATATCAACTGTATGGATTCTTATATATTATTACTCCTTTCCCTTCCCCGAAAATATACTAGGGGAGGGAAATGTGCTTTAAAATGTCTATTGCCACCCTTCAACATCTTAGTTGCATTATTTTAATTGAATTTGGAACTCAACAAATCAAACCTATCTTGCAGTGCCTTATTTAAAAGCTACTTATAGACTTGGCAGTAGTCGGAATGCTAGTGAGTGTTTTAAAAAAAATTCTCTCCCCCTCCCACCCATGCTTGTGTAAATCAAGTTGGGACAGGGCAGCTAGTGGGAAAGGCTTGCACTTGTGTCTAAAATTGAAAATAAGTGCAGTCAAATATTGTTGAAGTTTTTGTACTCTAGAGAAATGGAGTGTATGAAGATCTGTTGTGTCTTTTTTTAAAATAAAAAGATTTTCCATATTTTGGAGGCTTTGTCAGAAACAGGCACTTCCAGGTTAGGTTAGCACCACAGAATAAAGCTGAATTCAAGGCAGTTTTATGGTATGAGCCCACGCCTTCCGAAAATTAGCTTAAGATTGCCCTGGTTCATTTAACATAGGTTCTGTGCAGCCAACAGATGGACTTTCATCTTGATATCATCTGTATTTTGATGTTGCAGAAGGTTTAGCAGACGAACCACATTTGAGTGTGTTTTTGTTGACTTCAAAATTTGTGTTTAAATAACATTGTTAAAGCTGTAAGAAAGTATTGTGATTAAAGAGAGAAAACAAATCTACTTCTAGCGTAACAGGTCCAGTGGTGCGAAACACATTGGAGTAAATACATTTGAGTCCATGATTCTATCTGACTCTAAAAGGAAAGTTCCAACAGAGTTTTACAAGGTTTAATGATGCTGGTATAAACTCGCTTGCTTCATTGGTTTAAAAAAAACATCCCTAAATATGACTGTGGTAAAAAAAAATTAACAGCTTGCGTAGAAGATTTATTTATCTCTCTACTTACTAGGCAGTTGCTATCCATGTCCAGAGACAGTGAAAGTGAAATGCAATTGCAGTAAAACTCTTCTGACTGTACCATGTGGCAGAGAACGTACGACCAAACCACCGAAATGTAAAGAGCACTGCAGGTCAGTTTAATCATTTTATTGTAATGATCAGAGAAGAGCTTATGATAATCTTATGACCCTTTTTGTAATTACGAAATAATATTGCAACAAAAAATGTTTCTTTGGCTATGTAACCTCCAGATATTTTCCATGCATGTGTAAATTCTGATTGCAAACTTTTTNCTCTTTTCAACCAAATACAAATGAGCTATCTGACTTCAGGAACACCCTCCTTCTAGCCTACAATCGCTACCCTTGTCAATCTGTTTTTAAAACCCCTCTTAAAAAACACCTCTGCAACAGTGCCAACAGTCATCCTTCTTACACCCATCTCCCTTCTCCTCTGTTGCTCAGAATCTGATTCTGTCTATGTGAAGTACTTTGTTATCCTACATGAAGGGCACTATATAAATGCAGGTGGTTGCTCATGCATTCATTCTTCACCTTCCTTGAATCTGCTTGACCAGCCCTCGCCCTCCCTATTACATAACCATTGCCAAATTCAGTTTTTAAAAGTTTACTTTGGATTAAAAATTGTTTTGTGGTTGACATCACTAAAAAAAAATGGTAAAAATGGATAAGTTACTTTATAATCCTTTTGTGTTATTTCTGGTGGGTTTTAGTTAATTGGCCTTTAGTAGTATTACTACTCATTAGTCTAATTTTTTAGCTTTATTTTGTCCTGATAATCAGCTTTATTTCATTTTCTTTTCCTCATTTGATCTTAAATTCAAACTCTGTGAATCAGCATTATATACTTAAGTTAAGAATACAAAGTTCTTGTAACTTTTTGTACTAACTGCTCGAAATCTATATTTTTCATGTATACACACATCATAATATAACAGTCCTCATTTTTGTGAAAGCGACTTGTCACATTACAATGTTTTAAAGCGCTTCACAGGAATTTCTGTAGAATGTTAGTGGCTGTGTATTTTGTTGGTGAACAAAGTAGTCAATTTTGTGCACAACCATGAAGGGAATGACCAATTTATTCTCAGATTGTTAGCCAGGACACCAAGTGAAGCTCCTTTCTGTAAGTTGCAGCTGAACTATATACATACTAGACATGGGCAAATCCATTTTAACTTGAGCGAATTGCAATTTTCTTTTTTTTTCTAGAAATCCATCCACGTGCCATCATCCAAATAGAGAGAAACATCGATGCCATTTTGGCCCTTGCCCTCCATGCAGGCAATCATGCCAGAAAACATTGAAGAAGTGTGTCCACTTTTGTCCTGCTCTTTGTCATGATGAAGTACTAGTCAAGCAAGCAAATTCAGTAAGGATTTTATACACAGTCAAACTGGGTATATTAATGCATATTTTTTGTAGTAACTCTGAGGGAAAGCTGAGATTAGTTTGTAAAAGAATCCCTCCATGTGTAGTATAACATGTCCTTGCTGTTCAGTCATTATCAGTGTCTTTTAATTTGGACTCTGGAAAACAATGTGTCTGGCAGAACAGTGCAATGTAAATTTTCTTCTGGAACAACTTTGGGAGCTAATAGCTTTTCAATTCCAAATAGTTTCTCATTTGGTCATTGTGGTTGTAGGTCATGACTAACTGTTCAACATGTTGAACAAATATTTATTCCATTATTGGTTTGCTTAATTCAATTAGAAGCAATCTATTTGTATAAAGTTCAAGTTAGAAACAAAACTAGTAATATTTAATATCATCTTGTACTTCCACCCAAACCTTAAACTTGTCCTTTTCCATACTTCCAGGAAAATGGCATCTGTAAGATCAAAAGTTTACAAAGATCAGTCCTGTTAACTGGTTACTTCTTGCAAAAGTCTTATGGACTGTCTGTTCCAATCAGGTCTTGTCCTATGCCAGTGTTGCATAGAATTACATGGATTGTACTGCACTGAAACCCAGCTAGTCCTTTTGGTGTTTATACTCCACATAATAATAATAATAATCCTTGCATTTGATATAGTTCTTTTCACGTCTTCTAGATGTCCCAAAGCGCTTCACAGAATATGCTGTAAAGTGAATTGACTGTATATTTGTGGGCGAACGCGGCAGCCAATTGCGCACAGCAGTGTCCCACAAACAGTCATGGATTGAAAATGACCAATTTATTATTGTTTTGTTTTTTGGAGGGAATATTATTAGGCTCTGTGTGGAGTAAGGAAACTTGCCCAAGGTTTCGCCCTGACCTGCCTGGAATTGAACTCAGGTCTCTCGCTTGCAAAGCGAGTGCTCTAACCACTGAGCTACAGGACTCCACACATGGGTCTTGACCTCACTTAGTCCCTTCTCCCATACCCCTCTATTCACATTTCCCTCATATATTCTATCAGCTACCAGCCCAAATCTGCTTTGTCAAGGGACATCCTCTTGCCGTGAAAGGCGCTATGCAAATGTAATTTGTTGTTGTTTAATACATATTACTCTCTTTCTCACACCTAACTCATGTAACGCAAACTTATCTGAAATGGAAAGAAAATGTTTATGTGAAAAAAAGCTATGTTTAAGAACCATTAAAGGAGGCATTTGAGTAATAACTTGTATAGAAAAGAGAATGTATTACTCACTACTTTCTACATCAGAAAGTTTTAGGCTTTCAGGAGTGTGGAGTCCTGTAGCTCAGTGGTTAGAGCAATCGCTTTGCAAGCGAGAGACCTGAGTTCAATTCCAGGCAGAGCGAAACCTTGGGCAAGTTTCCTTACTCCACACAGAGCCTAATAATAATCCCTCCAAAACCAAAAACAATAATAAATTGGTCATTTTCAATCTACGACTGTTTGTGGGACATTGCTGTGCGCAATTGGCTGCCGCGTTCGCCCACAAATATACAGTCAATTCACTTTACAGTGTGTTCTGTGAAGCGCTTTGGGACGTCCTCCTGACGTGAAAAGCGCTATATCAAATGCAAGGATTATTATTATTATTAATAGTTGTTCGTAATCCTAGGTCATTTTTAGCAATGGGAAGCAGTAAATATAGTTTTACTATGAGATGTGAATTTGTTTGAAAGAATGTGTTTGTGATTTTCAAATTGGTTGTCACCACTTTCATTGTTTGTAAAACGCATAGCAGAAGAGGTTCCTTTAAAATTCTTGGATTTACTTAACTTGCAAAATGTTTTGCTAGAAGATTTTGAAAGTTCAGATTTTAAATTGTGAAATGTTTTATATTCTACACTTAATTTAGTAATTTTTTTTTAGCACCAGCCTTCAGGTCCATGGGAGCAACGTTCTGAACCAGCTTTCATTCGAACTGCGATACCTTGCCCACCCTGTATGGTGCCTATTCCCACGTATGTAGTGCTACTGTTATGCTTAGATTAACATTTAAATATTTCTCCAGTTTATTTTTAAAACTAGTGTAAAACAAAGTCATTTTACATTAAAGACTCGTTACTTTATATATAAAACATTTTTCACAAATGTTTTATTTTGCAATGAGTGTGTATATAATTTTTTTTTAATGGCTTTCATTGCCCCGGACTTAGGTTACATTTTGCTTTAACCAATGTGGTAAAGTATTACACCGCAGATGAATTTTTCAAATGTACTGGTAGTGATAATAACACTGCTGGAAGTACTTTCCTTTCAAAGTTTTAAATATTCCAAGTATAAATATCCTAGACCTCGTTACTCAAAACTAGCTGACAATGTAATGTAGCCTCCAGGCACGTTGTAATCGCACCGCAAAAGTATAATAGTGTATCACTAAACATGGGTTATTGTTTGTGATTATAATCACAAACAATAATTCAAGGAAGGATGAGGGATAATGCTTTAATTCTTACCCCTTATGCATAGTTTTGTTTTCCTATAGATCTTTCTAATAACTTAGCTTGATAGCAAAACTGTAATTTGATTTTCTTTTGATAAGCTAAACAATGTTTTAACCCCATAACTCTTAGCTCCACCATAGCTCTTTGCTCTAGTGTCTAGGATAGTATTTATTTTTTAGAGTTGTTTGAAATATTTAAACCAAGGATAAAAAGTGGTTTATAATATAATTTGTAATATTCTTCAAATCTTCACTGTAGAGTTCACTGTTTTGTTTTACAGGTATTGCCTTGGAAAACATGAGGTGAGTCAGAGAGCTATCATTAACGATATGCCATTAAAGTAGGTGTTTGGGTAAATTGAGTGTGGTTCCTGTTTTGAAATCTGATTTTAGTTTTCTTTTGATTACCCTGGAATAGTCCTTCTTTAATGTATTCTTTAATATTAATATTCATCAATCTTTTCATTTAGATGTTTCAGGACTATTTTGCTATCAATGGGCCATTTCAGCATGAATCAAAGGTTTTCAGTTCAAATTATGAGTGCTGAGTAGGGAAAAACTAATTTATGTTACACCTTATACCTTGTTTAATTATCCCTCTACCTATTGTAGTGACGAGCTCTATCCGCTCTTTGCACTTATTAATATCTCTTCTGGCTCCAAGACAATTGTTGGTGATTGTTTTTTTTCAATCTTATCAGGTGCAAATCCCTCACAGTAAGAATTTTCCATTCTAGACGAGGGAATTTTCATTCTTAGGTGGCTTGCATCGAATTCTCAGTCTGGTTTGGATCCTCAAGCATAACGATGAGTTTCTGCATTGTCAGACATCCGGTTGACCAAACCAAAACATTATTCTTTCATGGATTAAAACATGCTAAAATTTGAGCAGCAGAAGATTAGCAAAAAGTTATACAAGTGTTACTCAATGAAAAAAACTTTCTATCCTGGATTTAGCTATGTCTTTAGCTTTTGCGATAAGTATTTTGTAGGTTTTGTGTTTTTTTTTAACCTGTCGTACACTTTAAAGATAAAGAAAAACCCACTTCACTGTGATACTGCCTTTGTACCACAGGGACCAAAAGTACAGCCCTGACATTATGGAAATGTGGAGCAGGAAACCTATTTTATTCTATGTGCTCTGTGTCAATGAATTAGGGTAGCCAGTTTGCACACAGTAATGAATGACCAATTTTTATCTGGAGTTGTTGGCTAGGACTCAAGAAACTCTTTTTGAATAGTGGCGTGGGATCTTTACGTTCACCAGAACAGGCAGAAGGGGCCTTAGTTTAATTTCTCGTCCATGGAATGGGACCTCCCAAGAATGCAGTATTGCACTGGAGTGTCAGCCTATACTATGTGAGTTCACAGTCCCAGCATCGGGCTTAAACGCACGATCTTCTGACTCAGGTGCAAGTCCTACAGCCGAACCAGCCTAACAGCACTTTGAGATATTTGACAGGCAGTAAATGAAATAAAAGATTATTTGTGGGTGCCACAGACTTTCTGACAATATTTGTTGCCTATCCCTAGTTACCATGAGAAAGTTTAACTTGCTGAAATCCCTGTGGTGGTACATTAAAGTGATAACCCCAACGAAAGTTCATCCAAATGCACAGTTTCATTGCAGGCTGTCCTTAGAATTTGGCTTGTACATAAACTGCCAGGAGGATACGAACTGTCCCTTTTTAAATGTTTTTTGTGGTTTCAAAGTTCTTGTTTCTTTCATCTGTAACATGGAGAAGAGGGTTATCACTTGTGTATATATTAGCAGAGAAAAGTATTTTATATTTAGCACATCTCACCTATTTGTAGATGCATTTAATTTTGTCATTGTTCTGAACGCAGAGGGCCACTGTTCGGGTTTCATACATTGACCTTTTATGTTATTTTAGAGCAGCTTTGTTTAGCTTAAATTCCAGGTTTGTTTGATTGTAGTTATTTTGCATACCCAAGCTAATGTTTTTTTTCAGCTGGAGTATCAAATCACATTCCTTTGACGTTGTATGCATGTCAGAATAGCTATGTAGAGAAACCTATGATTGGCTGAATAGCTTGTAGAATTTATATCCCTAGATAGTGCGGGCAAATGACATAAATCACACATGTCCTTAGTTAGAATACTAAGGAAGGTATTTTTCCCCAAGTTTTACTCCAGTTTTGAACAATATGGCTTAAAATAAAATAGCTTATCCAATGGGTCTTAATATTGAGATAATGATAGTAATTGGATAGCTGTAACCAACTGTTGTTGTTTAGTTGGAGACTTTATTTGCAGTCAAGAATGTTGTTAGTTATTTACTTGGATCTAGTCGCAAAATGTACATAATCCTGAGGATAGAACTTGCTGCATGGCGTGCACAAATGGATGTTGATTTATCATGTAATCTTATATTCTGGAATCTACAGAATGGGATTTCATGTTCCAATACTAAAAAATCTTTTTAAAATGCTTTGATAAATATTACTAATCTTTACATTTCATATAGTACCTTTCACATCAGGAGGTTGTCTCAAAGCGCTTCCTAGCATTCACTGTAAAGTGTAGTAACTGTATTTTATGGGTGACTTCAGCCACCAATTTCCACACTGCAATGTCCCACAAAGGACCATTTTAAAGGGGAATTCAATTAATTAATCAATCAATATATAATTAATTAATATAATATATGTTTGATTGCAACACCCCATAGAAATGAGCCAGTGTTCATTCCTGGCTCCTATATTTGATTGGGGCTAGTTTATCAAAATAAAAGCCCTTGTGACATTACAGAGCTTTATTTTTTTTAAAAAGAAACCGGAATTTGAATCAGTTGCGTAGTTTTTGCTTACACATGAATTTTAGTCTACATTTTACAGTTTATGCACAAAATAGTACAAACTTAATGCGGTCTTTTGCATTCACTCTAAAAAGAGCAAATTTCCAGTGTTTGAGATGTATGAAGTTTTGCGGTGAGGGATATTCAAGAGCAAGTTAACTTAGCTGTTTGCAGAAGAACACTGCTAAATACCTGAGAGCTGATTGCCTTTGTCACAGCCACCTTTGTGACACAAGCCTTTAGCTTAATGTGAGAAGAGAAAAAGGAACATTGCGAAAACATTTCTCTGACAATATTACAATTTTTTAGTGTTGGGACAGGGGTGATATGGGTTGGCTTGAAATCCAATGCTTGTACCCAGATATTTTGTGCTGGAGATTGATTGTCAATATCATTAGGAGGACCTCTGGGGAGAAGATTGATAGGAACTTCATTGAGAATAAATGCATTTTGTATTTTATTTTGCTTCAAAGCAGAAAATGTTGTTCCTTTGAGAGAGGTTTTCTTATTTAAACCTAGTATTTTCAGAATCTAGATGCTGGACCTTCTGTTAACTTTCCCTTGATTTGATAATACCAGAACTGTTCCGATTTCTTTTTAACGCACAGATTGTTGAACTCCAAGGAAATATCTGACTTTGCAAACTTGTACAATCTCTAAAATGTCCACGAAAAGGTTTAAAAGGAGTCCCTTTGTTTGCATTTGCAGCAGACAGCTTCTAGTAGACAGCCCAGTAGATGTGATGTGTGATATTTTGTACATGCTTTGATTAAGCAAAGGTCAGTCATTCAGTTATTGTAAAATGTCCTTTTGAATTCTCAGTGTGAGATCTATAACTGGGGTTTTGTTCAAAAATGTCAAAACCATCTATACTAGAGACTTTGAAATCTTCTTAGCGATAGAAAAGAACAAATTTGTTTGGTCTGTAAGATATGTTTATTCAGATACATTTTATTTATGCATAGGTATGAGCTAAAGCAAATTGTGTGTGAAATGTTTTTGAATTAGAAGTTCACCCAAGTCCCCAAAAATATTTCTTTCTTTCACTATTCTTTAGTGTACAGTAATAAATATAATAAATAATTCTTGCATTTGTTATAGTGCTTTTCAAAGCGCTTCACAGAATATCTGTAAAGTGAATAGACTGCATACTTGTGGATGAAACGCAGCAGCCAATTGCGCACAGGAATGGACAGTTGTGGATTGAGTGACCAAATTATTTGTTTATTTATATTTTTTTCTTGAGGGATTATTATCAGGCATGTGGAGTAAGGAAATTAGCCCAAGGTTGTAAATGAGCTGAAATTGGTTATTGCTGTTAAACCTTCCCCAAGCGATCACCTTCAAAATAACTGACAGCAAGGAGAAACTGCTGCAAATTAAAAGTGCTCCTGCAACCAGATATAGTATTTGGATCTGAGTTACACGAGCCATTTTTTTTTGAAAAAACTGTAAAACAAAAACAGAAAGGCTTAGCATTGTAAATGAAACATTTTTTTCATTCATGCTGGCCTATTCCTGCTAGAAGATTTACAGTGAGATCATTATTGGGCATTCATTGTATACGCCACTGTTTATTTCCACTCCATCTCTGTATGTTCCAATGCTTGAATCCAAGCAAAGGATGAAAGTCGTTGGTAAAGTATGCAGAAACTGCTTTTTTAAACTGGCATACATTTTTTTTTTATCCACTTCCCACTCAATTCTTTCACTTTATATTCATGAATAGGTTTCCTTTTTACTGTGAGGCTGATCGGTAGTCTTATTATTTCACTTTTTTTTCAAAATGTTTTTNGTCGCATTGATTAGCCTTCTCAGGAAGAAAGGAGAACGGGTAATTAAACCAGATGCCAAGATTGTGCACTATTTCAGCGAGTTTAAGAGCGAGGGCAGTGAGGTTAATCAGATCAGAACCAGGTGAGGAGACTTTAGTTGGAGTCCAGGGTGATGTAAGCGCAAATTTTAGTTAATGATAGAGTATGTGCACACACATTTTCTTCCCTAGTAATATGATTCTTTTGAAATCTTCCAAACATAATGACAAACTACTTAAATTATAGCTGTAGCGTATGTGAAGACATCTAAGAAAACACAATAAGTCATTGAAACTAAATCAATGTGATATTTACCTGCCAATGTTGCAGGAATGAATTGTGCCTTTATAGATTTCTGAGGCAAGAGTTATTGCAGTGGACACTCCATTGGTGCATTCATGCTTGCTAAATTAAACCTAAATTTTTATATTGATAAATGTTGGTGTTGACTTTGTCTCCCCAGTTAATGAGACAAGAGTAAATGTGACATAAGTAACACAATGACACTGCTGCAATGGGTCAAAAGGGGAACATTGAAGAAGTAGCTATTTAGAGCCTGTGGTTTTTGCCAATTCAAGCTGAATAGGAATAATTTTCAATAAGATGAAATACCTTGAATGATATGTTTTCAATACAATTTGTAGAATTATGCGCACTAGTTAAGCTTTGA